TTATGTATAACTTATATGGTGGTTTTATTGTAATTCATTATAAAAATTGCTACCAATATACTTGTAAAGTGTTTACATCCACTTTTTATTTTCAGAAATATTATAGGCGTATGTATAAATCTGAGGAAATATACCACAAATATCACAAACTAAAGGATTTTTTTGTTCAATTTTGATTATTAATAATTTGTTCACTTATATCACTTATATTTTTTTGTGTATTCCCCCACCCCCCCACTACAAACACAAAACATTACATTTCCCTTTGTTGATAAAAAAAACCCCACCAAATTATTCAAGGTTAAGGAAAGTACCACTTACCCAGAATCCAAAATACACGAATGATTTTAGAATGGTAGATCCTAAATAGTCCTAACACAATCTTCACATACATATTATTGTAATGTTTTTACTATTTCGAATACCATTTTGGGTAATCTGTTAAAACTCAAAATGAAACTTGTACATAAGAATGCGCTCATTCTGTTATAAATTATTTTTACTGCTTTATGTATATAATTTATTGCAATACTTAATTTGGGGAAAATATTTGAGGCTAAACTTGCAAAAATACAAATGTTTTTAAATTCAAAAGAATTGTAAGAATAAAGATATATATATATATATATACAGAAAATAATGTTGTAACTCCTTTATTATAGGCATGTGAAATGTTTTGAAATTTCTTTTTTATTTATTTTTTTTCAATTTGACAATTTTTATTGAGTCAGCGAAAAGGTATGTGGGTACAGAAAGTAGAAAGGGGGTAGGTCGCTCAGACCCAACAGGTATTGCACAGTAACAATTTATACACTCATAACAATCGTTCAGTATGGTGTGGGTGCACGCATGGCATTTGTTTGGCATAGATATTCTCGTGTTGATAGGTTGGCACGTAAGCGTACTTGATAGTCCTATATCAAACCTATTTCCATGCCGTTTATAGGTGTATATACGCAGTTAACCTATTGTGCTGTTGATGCTCTCAGTACATTTTGTTGATACGTTCGCACATCTGACAGTTATTTGGAATAAATGTTCACGTATTGGTTAGTTGGTGTTCATGCATGTATAACAATTATTTGGCATTAATACTCTCCAGGCAATTTGTCTATAGACATACTCACATAACAGATTTTTTTTATTTATTTTTTCCCTGACATGCGTTACACAGAGGGGGGTTTTGGAGTGTCTGTCTTCCCGGGCTGAGTGTCTGGGCCTGAGATGATCTATCTGGCTAGCTGGCTATAGGGGTACTTCTACGTAGTGTTTGGTCACAGGGGTTATTTCCTTTTTGTGATTGCTTCGTGCCCAGTTGTGTATCTCTATTCCCCACTTGTATCTGCGTCAGGCTTAGCCGTCTGCCTGTCTGATGAGCTAATGGTTGTGTTATCATTAGATGCGTGCTCGTGCCTACCTAGTGGAATCAGTGCTTTCACTGTACCCTTGGGGAGCAGTGTTCCGGTATATCCGATGCCCTCCCATCTCCTTCCCCAGTCCGTCTGGCCGCTTGACTCTTTTTACTTCTAAAAATAAAAAGGGGGGGGGGATTGGGATTAGCAGGTAGGGGGGAGTGAACTATGTACAAAGGAGGCTTGCTCTACGGTGTCTTAGTAGGGTAGACCTCTCGTGTAAAGTGGAGTATGTTCCGTGTTTTCTATTTTTTATTATAAGTGTACAGATTGTCTGGTGTCTTTGTTGGTTGCCATTGCCAGGTGTGCTGGGTTGCCCACCGTGTATTTTGACACCTGGGTCGAGAGCCCAGAGCGCAGCCCGGAGTTTTTCCTCTCCCACTCTTTCCGAACTCTGTTGCCGTTGCCTGAGCCCAATTATAAACCTCTAATCCGGAGGTTTTTACCTCTTATTTAGTTTGTCAGGTATCGTCCCGTGGTGTTTCGTCGTCTCTAATTTCCTTGTGGACTTGTGAGTCTGGGGTACTGGTGTTTTCCGTATGTGTATGAGATTTAATGTATGTGTCCCACATGTTGCCCGCTGCCTGAATATGCTTTTGGGGCTAATACTTTTATGTGCCATTGTTTCGTAGTCTAGGTTGAGGGTAATCTGTGTTGTGAGGGCAGTGCGACCCGGGACTACCCCGGCTTTCCATGCTCTGGCTATCAGTAAATTTGCAGCCATGAGGATGTGGAAGAGTAGGGTGTAGGCTGGTTTGGGCATGCTTTCTAATGGCATGAACAGGAGACATACTTCAGGTGTGAGTGTAACACTCATCTCCAGTGCGTCTGTAGTTATGTCGCCCACCATCTGCCAGAACTCTTTGATCTTGGGACAGGTCCACCAAATGTGGTACATCGTTCCCGGTTCCTGTGAACATCTCCAACAGAGTCTGGATGTGTTCGGGTAAATGCGCGCCAGCCTGTCATGTACCAGCGATACTGGATTTTCCTCATCAGTTCCAAATGTGATGCACAGCTTGTCTTTCCCTTGTGGGCTAACATTGCTTTTTTCCAGCTTGTGATGTCAAATGTTTGGTGTAGGTCGTTCCAGTCCGTCATAAATTTTTCATAGCTATGTTCTGTCGGAACTGTCGGTTCACGGTATATGGAGGCTAGTAACTTTTTTGGTGTGGTAGGGGCTAGGAAGGCTTTCTCGAAGAAGGCTATGGTCGGCGGAGAGTGCGGGGTTGTGTATGAGGAGTGCTTTTAGTTGGAGGTATGAGAACACCGCTCTCGTCGGTAGTTGGAATTTGCGTTGGAGGTCAGGGAATGGCAGAATTCCGCTGCTCCTAAACAGTTGGCCTATGGAGGTACAACCTCTTTTGCGCCAGGGCCTGTAGTCGAAGGATGGGTTGATAGCATGCACGCAGGATATAGGGGTGGCTGGAGGCCACATGTGTTGCTCGCCTAAGTTGTGTTTTAATCTGTCCCATGTGTGGAGGAGTAAGTCAGTTGTGCGCAGCATGTTTGGCATGATCGGGCGGTTGCGTTTGGGTATCCAAAAGAGAAGGTGCATGCCCGTGGGGTGCGACCAATGCGACTCTATTTCAATCCATTGCGGGGGGGAGACAGCTGCATGGGAGGTCACCACGGATGCTAACAGTGCAGCTCTGTAGTATTCTTTAATGTTTGGCAGCCCAAGTCCGCCGTGATCTAGGGGCTTGTATAGGAGTTTCGAAGAGACACGGATTTTGCGGTTTTCCCACACAAATCTGGTTAGTGTAGCTTGGAACTTTTCCAAGTATGATTTGGGGATAGGTATTTGCAGTGTTCTAAGCAGATATTGGAATTTAGGGAGGATGGACATTTTTATTGCTGCTATCCTACCTAGCCAGGTTAAGAATTTGGATTCCCACCCCTTCAGTGTTTCGGTTATGTCCCTTAAGAGTGTCTCGTGATTATACTTCAGGAGCTCAGTCGGATTTTTTGTGAGTCTGAGCCCCAAGAAGGTAATGTAATCAGATCTCCAATCAAAGGAGAATGATGCTCGGAGTGTGCGTAATGTTTGGTCTGGGATCCCTATGCTTAGGGCTTGGGTCTTGGTCACATTGAGCTTATAATAGGAGTGGGTTCCATATTCTTTGATAGCTGCTAAGAGGTTTGGGAGGGAGACTTGTGGCTGCGTGAGGGTGAGCAGGATATTATCAGCGAATAGGTTTGCTTTGTATTCTTTTTGCCCGATTATAGTTCCATGGATGGAGGTATGGTCCCTGATGGTTTGCGCCAGGGGCTCTAGCGCTAAGACGTAGAGTAAAGGGGAGAGTGGGCAACCCTGTCTTGTTCTGTTTGTGATCAAGAAGGGGTCAGACAAAAACCCCGCATTGAGTACTTGCGCGGTGGGGTGGCTGTATAGGGCCCCCACCGCCGACAGAAATCTCTCAGGTATTCCAAATTTGAGCAGGACCGCTTCTAGAAAGCCCCAGTGTAGGCGGTCGAAGGCTTTCTCGGCATCTAGCGATATCAGCAGCCCCCCTTTTTGTGTCATCTTGTAGCTGTGTATTATGTCTAATACTTTTCTCGTGTTTTCCGATCCCTGTCTGCCCGCCACAAAGCCCACTTGGTCATTGTGGATAATGTGAGGAAGGATCTTACTTAGTCGGGTGGTGTGTATTTTTGCAAAGATTTTAGCATCTGTGTTCAGTAGTGATATGGGTCTGAAATTTGGGGGGATTGTGGGTGGTTTGCCTGGTTTGGGCAGTGTAACGATATGCGCTAGTAATACATCTTTGGGTAATGATTCGCGGACTATCGCGTCTTGGAATGTTTGTGCTAGGTGTGGGGCCAATGCGTTGCTGAATTTTTTGTAGTAAAGATTATCCAAGCCGTCAGGTCCGGGTGCTTTACCCGTCGGCAAGGCACTTATGGCCGAGATAATCTCGTTTGCTGATATCGGTTGGGTGAGTTCTAACTTTTGTGTAGGGGTCAGTTCCGTGAGGTGAAGGTCCTCAAGGTAGCCGTTGATGCCTGCGGTTTGGGGTTGGTGTATTTGCCCGCTTTGGTTAAGGTTATATAGATCTGCGTAATACTGTGCGAACTCGTTACTGATGTCTCGCGGTGTGTGGACCTTAGTGTCATTTTTTGTCGTTAGATATGCAATTTTCTGGGACGTTTGGCGCGACCGCAATCTATTTGCGAGCAGTTTGCTTGCTCTATTACCTTGTGCATAATGGGTCGCTTTAAGGCGCTTAAGCTGAAACCCTGTGTTTTGTAGGGCCTGTTGATGTATGTTCCTATTTAGGGCTATGATTTGGTCTCTTGGAGAGGCAGAGGGTGAAATTTGGTTCTGCACATTTAAGGCATACAGTTTCTTCTGCCACTCCTGCAACTGGGCGCGGGAAGTTTTGCCCAGTGTGGCAGCTCGTTGTATGAGTATTCCCCTCACCACAGCTTTGTGTGCTTGACATACTGTGGTTGGGGACATACAAGGAGTGGAGTTCTCCTCAAAGTACTGTTTGAGGGCCGTCTCTACTTGGCTTGTAAAGGCTGGGTTCTGTAACAGGGAGTCATTGATTCTCCAGGGGCTGCGGTTTTTAAAGTCGTATAGATCTTTGACTTCGAGGGTAACCGGGGCGTGGTCTGACCACGTGATGTGGTCAATATCGCACTTAACCAGTTGGTTTAGGTCTGATCCTCTCATGAGAAAGGTATCCAGTCTAGAGTAGGAGTTATGGATGGGCGAGAAAAACGTGTAGGACCTTTCCATTCCGTGGGAGATTCTCCACGCATCATAGTAGTGGTGCGCGGAGAGAAGTGTCTGCAGTGCTTTGCTTTGGCGTTTGAGGGGTCGGAATCTGGCTCGGACATGCGAGAAGGTGGTGTCCAGTGTCTGGTCTAGGACGTGGTTCAGGTCCCCGCATATTATTGTTATCCCTTGTTGCATTTTAGTTAGTGTCTGTAGAATTTTATGGAGGAAGTTTCGTTGGTTGGAGTTGGGGGCATATATGTTTGCGATAGTGTATGTGATGTCGTTGATGATTCCCACAACTATGACATATCTCCCATTGGTGTCTAACTCCTGTGTGAGGAGTTGGAATGTGACCTTTTTGCTGATGAGTATAGATGCGCCCTTTGACTTATGTGGAGAGGTGGCGTGGAACTGGGTGGGGTAGTCGTTAGTATCGGGGTGTAATCATTCGTTCTATAGTGTGTTTCCTGTAGGCATACTATTTCTGGGCTGGCTGCTCAAAGCTCCCGACCCAACAAGTGCCGCTTTACTGGGATGTTCAGTCCCTTCACATTGTGGGTATAAAACTTCACGGTGGGTCATATATAAACAATCGCTGTTTGTTGTAGTAGTCATTATGTGTGGTTGGGGTCCCCGCTCCTCCCAGCTCTGGCGAGCGAAGCGGAGGGTCCCTGTGAGTTGATGGCAATGGCATTGCCACTCGTCGCTGCCTAGCCCACTGGCTAGAGGGACGAGGGAGTTGTGGGATGTTCTGCATGGTGTGAGGTCTGCCTCTCGGGCTGTTAGCTTGGTTACGGGTGCCGAGGCATGGAGTCGGGGGGGGAGGGGCGGGGGCAGGGGAACTGCTAACAAATGGACTATAACCGAAGTCCAAGGGGTATATAACAGGTGAGCCAGGAATGTGGCTAGGCGCTGCCTATTAGCGCCGTGGGGGTGGAAGCGAATGGCTTCCAGTCCAGGGGTGGTCCGCACTCGGAGGGCCCAACGTGTTGCAGTATAAGGGATCCTGAGGGGGTCCGCGTAGAGGAACCCATGTCTCCATGTCCGCAGGGGTATAGCGGTGGTTGTCATTGCGGTGGGAGGTGGACCCAAGTCAAGGGGGTGCTGGTGCTTGTGGGAACTTATGTGGAGCCGGTGCGTTGAATCGTAACACATTAATTGGGAATGTGATTAGACGTAAGTGCATTCCCTGTCCCCATGACGTCTGTGTGTGCTCAGCTATGGGACCCTATGGACCGTTTTACCTCTTTAAATGGGACAAAGGGAGCCTCAGGGGCACCTGTAATTTCAGAGGGTCACCAACCCTGTCTTAGCAATAAGTCAATACAGAGTTAACCATAATCGATGCATTCAATGTGTGGGAGGGGAGCGGGAGGCCGTGAAGCCCTGTTTGTTTGTTTTTTTTGGTTTTTTTTTGGGGGGGGGTGGAATAGTTATACTTGCTGTGGCTCACGACATCAGGGGGTAATAGTCACTGGAGGCTCCCAAATCTTTGTCAGCGTCTTTTAGGTTTTTTCCATTCCGGAGAGATCCTTGGCAGGTTTCCCGAGGGCCTCATCTGTTCCGGCTCTTCAATTCCCCATTGGCTTAGGATACGGTGGCCGTCTTCTGGGGTGGGTATAACGATGGTTTTCCCTTCGCGTTGCACTAGGAGCTTTACCGGGAATCCCCAGCGGTAAATGATGTGATGTGCTCTCAGACGCTCCGTAACTGGCTGGAAGGCTCGGCGGTGCTTCAGGGTGTAGGCTGACAGATCTGCATACACGGAAACATCCCGGAATCGCTCTGGCCACTCTTTGCGGCGCCATCATGTGCCATCACGGAAGAGGCCGGAGTTTTAGCTTGTCCCGCTCGCGGCGTGAAAAATTGCGCCTTCTCCTGTCTCTCGGTGACCCTTTTTGACTTGGGCTGTGACATGGTTTGCCCTGCGGTGTCTTGGTAGGCAGTTTGTTCGGGTATATGATTCCAATTGCTCAGATATGGGCCTTAGAGGTGCGGAGCTCTCTCTACATGCGACTGCTCGCGGCAAAGTCCAGGACACGCCCCGTTTTTAAATTTCTTAAGCATTGACCTAGTGAACTTAACACTACCTTTTATGGCTTATTATATTTAGAACCTAATTTTATCAACTTCAAGGGAGAGGTAGGTCATACTAAAGCTTAACTTTTCAAATGATATTTTACCGCCTGGACTGCAATAATTAGTTTGTAAAAAGTGGTAGAACATTTTATTTGGCACATGCTACTTTGATTATATCTATTGTAACGAAAAAACTGCCTTACCAATAAATTAAGCAGACTGCATTCTGCACAAGCTGGTGAAATAGTCCACAAAGGAATAGTACACCAGTGAAGACAACCCAGACTGCACTTTCAAAAATAGAAAAAAAAACTTGATAATGCTGGTGATTACTGATAAAATACTGTGCATATAAACATGTGCAAAAAATGTTCAATAATAAAAAAATAAAAAAATCTGAGTAGAAACTGTAAATCTTTAATAGTTTTATTTCCTTTTTATTTTTTTCCCCCACGACCAATAGCATATTATGTGATTACAGCGCAATTCAAGGTTTTCAATACTTTCAGAATACAGAGTAGGGATGTGCATGGACAAAAAATTCAGGTTGGTTCGGCACTTCTGAAATTTGGGACTTAGGCACTTCAGGAATTAAGAGACTTAGGCAATTCCTTAACCCTAACCCTACACCAAGCATGTCAAACTCGTGGCCCACAATGGACATCTTTTCGGCCCGGCGAGCCGCGAGTGCATGCTTAGTGTTAAAGCAGAGTAGACACCTGCTTTCCCCACATTGCAGGTGAATTCTTTGCAAAATTTTTACCTGGCCGGTGAGGAGGGAGCTCAGTGTTCCTGCTACTGCGTGCTGTATGTAGTGAAGCCCGGCGCCGGAATATGACATCATATTGCGGCACCCAGCATCACTAAACTGCGCGTGAGTAAGCAGTGAGGAGCAGATAGAAGATCCCCCACTGGACCCCAGGGAGAGGCCCCACATCGGCTCTCAAAGGTAGGGAGCAATAAAGAAAGTGTGTGTGTGTGTGTGTGTGTGTGTGCGCGTGTGTGTGTGTGCGCAAGAATGTGTAAGTGTGTGTTGGTCAGTGTTGCATTGGCTGCGACTGGACAGTGGAGTACCTGGAGGTGCACGGAGGCACGCAACGCCACGTCACATTCTGATTTGACATCGGCGTGCTCCACCTTCACAGGGTTTCAAGAAGTAGTGGAAGGATCAGATTTGGCACAGGGGGCAGACGGCGCCATTTGGGGTTTACAAGAGGACGAACTCTGTAGTCGCATTCTGGCAGCAGCAATGTGAATGGAGTCTGCTTGTTGGTACAGGGGGGTGCTGGGATTTAGTGGAGGGGGAGGAATGGATTTAGTATATGGGGGACGACGACTGTGGTTTAGTAGAGGGGGGTGCTGGGGTTTTATTTATACTGTACTTTTCAAAATAAACCTACATTTCTATGAAAATTTAAGGGGTTTTTTATTTATTTTTTTGCGGCCCACATCAAATTAAGCCTTGTTTAAGTGGCCCGTGCTATCCTATCCACATATTTGTTTCTTTTGATTTTAGGGCACAATTTAAAACCCTACTAATCTCCACTTGATATTAAAATTACATTGAAATACTTGACACATTGTGCAAAAACACTGAACATGGTTAATTATGAGCTAGCCATGCCTATGAAAATCCATGAAATTAAAAGAAAAATGTAAATTTCCCCATAATAAGACTTCTAGTGGTCAGAGTAACCTTCTTTTACACTCAATAAAGACTTGCAAAATTGAGCAATAATGGAATAGTATACGCCAAAGTTCTGAACATTTCCTTCAATTGATGGAGGACTCCTATCTCTATTTGCCGGTGAGATAGCTCAGTAGGCTAATGCATCATCAGTACAATCTGTTCAACCCTTGGGAATAAAATCCCAGCAGGGTTGACTCAGCCCTTCATCCTTCCAAGGTAGATAAAACGAGTAGCATTAAAGTGGGTATAGTAACATGCCCTGGATGTTGTTCAGAGTAATCTGAATCTACTTTTTAGCAGCTGTTTGAATCTGTAATGTAAGTTTCCTTTATAAAAGACAAGAGGTATTAAATACTTTATTTAGCAATATACAGTGGAAGTTAGTGCTCCTCTTGGTTTATAAGAAGCAATGAAAATTATTTTTATTACAGCCACATCTTACAATTATAGAGATATATTTTCATACTTAAGATATGGTAGAAGTGTTTTAAATGAACTCTTTTTGTGCAGAACACAAATATGTGAAGTGCAACATTTAACATACTGTATAAAATACCTATGCATCCTTTCTTGAATTAAAGATTATCCAGACCCTTAAAGCACTTTAGCTTGCTGAAAAGCTTTGTGTGTGACAAGTTTATTTCATTCTACAAAAAGTGCATATTTCAATAGAAACTGACACTTTTATTAATTAACCTGGTTACACTCCCTTGGCTTACAAGCAGACAACAGGTCCTGTTACTAACTGGTTTGGTTAGCTCAGTGGAGCTAAAATCAAGAGGCAGCAATTGCCCAGAGCTCCTACCTTGCAAAGACTTCTCATTTTGCTACATTAGGAAGTCTGTGATTGGACAGCCATAGAAAGTATGGGCGGGGTTAGACGGGGAGGGATTGAGGTGGAACTGCAGCTTTTGTAAGCTGTTTTTAGATATGCATTTTTTTCATTGAGGTATAATTAAATGAATGCAAGTTTTTAATTGGGGTATGTGACAATAAGACCTAATATTGTCAGCGGGTATTCTTTTTACATTGAATGTAAACCTTTAAAAGAGATAAATTGAAATAATAATAGTGCAGTATGTCAATTTAAAATAATTTCATATAGAATATATGGGAAACCAGTAGAAGAACTAACTCACACTTTCCAGAGCTACTAAGAGCTCTACTGTATAGCGCCTGGACAGTATAATCCCCGTTTTAGGATTTAGGAATAATGGTGAGGCGTAGCTTCCAGATCTCCACGATTGAGCATAGAACAGAAAACACAAATAAAATCCAACAGTGCAGTATGTCTGATAGGTAGTATATAGCAGAGAAGGTAAGTATCTTACTTACAATTTCCAGAGCAATAAACTTGCTCTGGTGATGAGAGCTTGTGGTGGTATGATCCCCACCAGAGGATATAGGCAGGATCCAAAGTGCACCATGAACAGAAGATGTATCAAGGAACAAAGTAGGAGGTAAAACTACAATTTTATTATCAAAATAAATTAAAATATAAAAATACTATAAATATATTAGCAACATCCAGTCTATTGCTCCACTTTACGCGTTTCGCCCTAATCAGGGCTTCTTCAGAAGTTTAATGTTCGTCAGTATCAGTCCCAGTTATATAGGGTGTACTGATTTTTTTTCATTCTGTTCCGGTGGGTGCACTCTTCCTGTTTCCGGCGAGTCGCGTGTGTCGACCGGAAATGACGCATCGCGGCTCGCAAGGGCTGATGGACCATGTAGTCCCCATATTGTTATTGACATCGGTAGTCGCGAACATTGCCCGGAAATGACGTGACGCGACTAGCGGTGATCACTGGGAATAGTAGTTTTATAATCAGAAGCCACGTAGCTTGGCATCCTCAATTCAGGAGGAGGGAAAGAAGGCTATACATAAGTGTATTAGTTACATAAAATAAATACATATGTACTATAATACACATTCAAATTTATAACATATATACAGTATACACATATTTATATGGGAAAAATATTCATATAATTTGTTTTTAGGACATCAATATATACAATAAAAACTTTGTAATAAAATAGAAGAAATCATAGAGATCAACAGAAGGCAGACAGAAATATACCCATAGTATTAATTTATACATCCCAACAATATATATGTGTGTTATAGGTGTCAATAAACATAGGACAGGTGGTATCTTAGATATTATAATAAAAACTGAAACAAGTATCAATAACAAATATATATATTATAAAAATATAATAAATGGATAAAATGTCAAAATTAGCACCAAAATTTATAAAATATTTTTATATAAGTTCATAAAAAGTTAAAAAGATCAAACTCAGCGTTAAGACCATTAGGGTGTAGTGTATCTAAAAAAATATCGTTATAATACTTGTTTCAGTTTTTATTATAATATCTAAGATACCACCTCTCCTATGTTTAACACCTATAACACACATATATAGAAAGATGAAAGCATAAATTAGAAAGAGATTAGCATAGAGTATGTGTTCGCATAGCTGCATCCTTTGAGTTTCCCTCCAACACCATCTCCATCAGATATATGACGCTTGAGAGGTATGACTTTTTTAGTGTTTTTGGTCGATAAGATTCTGTAATTAGGCCCATCTTAATTGTCAGCACCAGGCCCACTTGGCTCTTAATCTGGCCCTGTATATAAGTCTCTCTTATAGTATTCCTGTTATTGACCTCAGCTCATTTTTAACTTGTGATTTCTGGTATCCTGACCTCTGCTTTGTATTTTGACTTGTGATTTCTCGTATCCTGAACCAGCTTCATATTTGACTTGTGATTTTCTGGAAAGCCAAGAAAATACAGGTGATACTTGAAAAATTAGAATATTGTGCAAAAGATTATTTATTTCAGTAATGCAATGTAAAAGGGGAAACTAATATATGAGATAGACGCATTACATGCAAAGCAAGATAGTTCAAGCCGTGATTTGTCATAAGTGCGATGATTATGGCTTACAGCTCATGAAAACCCCAAATCCACAAACTCAGTAAGTTAGAATATTACATGCAATCAATAAAGCGAGGAGTGTACATATCGGACCTCTGAAAAGTATAAGCATGCATATGGACTCCATACTTGGTTTGGGCCCCTTTTGCAGCAATTACTGCCTCAATGAGGCATGGCATGGAAGCTATCAGCCTGTAGCACTGCTGAGGTGTTATGGAAGACCAGGATGCTTCAATAGCGGCCTTCAGCTCTTCTGCATTGTTCGGTCTCATGTCTCTTTCTCTTGGCAATGCCCCATAGATTTTCTATGGGGTCAGGCAAGTTTGCTGGCCAATCAAGCACAGTAATCCCACAGTCATTGAACCAGGCTTTGGTGTTTTTGGCAGTGTGAGCAGATGCCAAGTCCTGCTGGAAAATGAAGTCCGTATCCCCATAAAGCTAGTCTGCGGAAGGAAGCATGAAGTGCTCCAAAATCTCCTGGTAGACGGCTGCGTTAACCCTTGTCTTAAAGAAGCACAGTGGACCAACACTAGCAGATGACATGGCTCCCCAAATCAACACAGACTGTGGAAACTTCACACTGGACTTCAAATATCTTGCAGTGTGTGCCTCTCCATTCTTCCTCCATACTCCGGGTCCTTGGTTTCCAAATGAGATGCAAAAGTTGCTCTCATGAGAAAAGAGGACTTTGGACCACTGAGCAACAGACCAGGTCTGTTTTTCTTTAGCCCAGGTAAGATGCTTCTGACATTGTTTGGTGTTCAGGAGCAGCTTGACAAGAGGAATACATCTGAAGCCCATGTCTACATTTGAATGGCCTTTTCCTGACAATCCGTTCCAGGCTGCGGTCATCCCTGCTGCTTGTGCACCTTTTACTTCCACATAACTTTCTATTAATGTACTTTGATACAGCCCTTTGGGAACATCCAACTTCATTCGCAAGTACCTTTTGAGGCTTTCCCTCCTTATGGAGGATGTCAATGAGGGTTTTCTGCACAACTGTCAGGTCAGGTCAGCAGTCTTCCCCATGATTGTGATTCCTACTGAACCAGACTGAGAGACCATTTCAAGGCTCAGAAACCCTTTGCAGGTGTCATGGCTTACTTAGCTGATTAGAGTGTGATTTTCATGAGCTGTAAGCCATAATCATGCACTTATGACAAATCACGGCTTGAACTATCTTGCTTTGCATGTAATGCGTCTATCTCATATATAGTTTCCCCTTTTATGTTGTGTTACTGAAATAAATGAACTTTTGCAGAGGGGGAGGACAACATCGAGGCTGCTGGGGCTGGCCATCTGGGCCTTATACCCTGGGCATCACTGGTGGGGACTCTGACTGATCTCCCCCTTGCTCAATTAGGCCTAGCCTGGCCAAAAACAACTTCTCCACCAAACTGCAGAGCTGAGACCCAGTGGCGTCTCTAGGATTCATTTGGGGCACATGGTGGGCCAGGGACAAAAGTAGGGGGGCACATTTAATCCCACCCTCGCCGCATGTTAAGCCCCACCCCCGACACAATGTGTTTTGTTTCTTTTTTATAATCCCTGGTGAAGGATTCATTATTTTCCACCAGGGATTATTAAAAAACAAACATTTCTATTGATACAGTGCCATAGTTGGCACTGTATACACACACACACACACACACACACACTACTGGGTCCATACACAAAGACTGCTGAGTCCATACACACACAGCAGTCTGTGTGTGTGTGTATGGACTCAGCAGTCTATGTGTGAGTCCATACACACACACACACAGACTGCTGAGTCCATACACAAAGACACACAGACACAGACTGCTGAGTCCATACACAAAGACTGCGGAGTCCATACACACACACAGACTGCCATGTGCCTCTCCTAGCGACGCCACTGCTGGGACCACGTCCTTCATGACCGTTCCCAGAACAAACTGACTGGCCAAGCAATTGCAGCCTCCTTACTTGATCACACACAGCACTTGGTGATACGGACTCTGCATGGTCTGCCGCTCCTCTGTGCCACTCTGACAATTATGTCAATTACGTTCTCCTGGATGGGCCCCGAAACAAAGCTCTGTTTGCTGTGTGATCACGGCCCCTGAGTCCATACACACACACACAGACTGCTGAGTCCATACACAAAGACTGCTGAGTCCATAGAGAGACACACAGACTGCTGAGTCCATACACAAAGAGGGTTGTTAATATCTTGTGTGAAGATCACAGATTGAGGAGGAAGGGAGAGAAAAAAAAAAAACAAAAAACAGTGCAGAAGATGGTAAAAGGGGAGAGTAAAAACAAAATAAAACAAAATAACTTATATTAAGAATACATGAAATCCCATCCAAGAGTTACAGGATATGCATGAAGGCCTATATCCAGCATACACACACGTACATATACACAAGTAGTGTATATGTACAAGTATACACAAGTACATACACAATATACATATAAATACAACCAAATGCACAAATATATGTACATGCACGCCTATACATATACAAAATGTGCCTACACATACATAGACCCATATATATGTACACATAAATCTATTCACATATACACACATGTATAAACACTCTATACATACACACACACACAAAATATATATTTATATGCATACACAAACACAAACCGATACATACATGCCCATGAATTCATATACACAAATATAAATGCACAGTCACATATATAAGCATACATATACATACATACTAAGAAGATACTATATAAAGATAGTGAAATAGGTTTTCCAAACCTCCTGCAATACAGTCAGGAAAGCATGTTAATGCATACACGCAATACAGATTCTGATGTTCAAAAGTGAGGACTGGTATCGGATTGAACAAAATATGATGGTCTTAGAGAATTCGAGTGGAATAATATGGATGAACCATAAATTATTAAATGACAAACTAGCTCAAATCCAGGGGGCCATGGTAATGAAGAACATTACTTTCTTTTGGCATAACATTTTAAAGATTAGTTTGAAAGATAGAATATTAAAGCAGACACCTTTAGAAAGCCAAAGAATATAGAGGACCTCTATGTCAGACACCATCTTAAGTCCATTGAACAAATTTGACAAGAGTATGAAGTATCTCGCAAGGACTATTTTAATCAAATGCAAATTAAACAATATATAATTAAGCAGATATTTAACACACACACACACACACACACAAAAAACCCATGGCACTTTGTGTGCAATTGGAAAAATGTTTCTCTTACCTCTAACAAAAGAATAATAAAAAAGTGTCACAGCTTAGAGCATGCGGATTTGAAAATTGGTTTAGAGGTGTGGGGTGAGATCTGGGTACAAATGGGAAACGTTACTCCAAATATCCAAGATTTGCAGTATAAAATGATGCATATTTGGCATCTTAAAATGAGTTAAATACAACCTCAGATGAACTACGACACATGACAGATTACACCGTGTCATGATTTAACAAATATAAAGCCAAAATGGAGAAGCCATGTGTGAAAAACCAAGTACACCTTATAATTCAATAGCTTGTACAACCAACTTTAGCAGCAATAAATTGAAGAAATGTTCTGTATTTTATCAGTCTCTCATGTCTATGTTAATATGTCTGATATATAAAAACCATAGAATTCAAAAGAGGGTATACTTTCTTTTTCCCATGAATTTATGTATATATAAAAATAATAATAAAGAAAAAAATTGTTTTATTTTATTTATTATATATATATAAATAACTTTAGGCACCAAACCCACTACATCATCTTCTCAAACTTTAGATTGGTCAGAGAACATGCCTCTATTGGTTGTCAGACTGACTGCGTCTAGAGGCATTTCCTTTTAAAACCTGATTATGCATTATAAATGTCCTCAAATGTTCAAGATTTATGATTGAATGGCAACAAATTGGCAGAATGCCAAACACCCACCTTTGGCATCCTGAGAAGTGGGATTCCGGTGGGCGAGGTAAAAGTTGGCAAGCCAGTTATGCACTTCACTCGGCAATGGGTCTGTTTGTCCAAAGAATTGGCAGATCAGCCTTGTGTGAATGCACTTCAGGCTGCCTGACAATCACATATACCAGCACACTGATAGAGGACCATGCAGTTAGTGTTGTGTCAGTGCTCTCTGGGTTCCTATGGCCTGCATCTAATGATTCGATTAAAATATGCTTTTTTGGGAAGGTTTCCTGGTGTCCCCAAAAGTAGGACACAACCCTCCTTTTTAAATCATAACAGAAATCACCCAAATGGCCCTGATCAAACGTTGACATACCCTTCAATATTTGGCCTTGTTACAGACACACACACACACACGTTAAAATGGCAATTAAAGGTTAATTTCCCACACCTGTGGGTTAAGTTGCAATTATTGTCTGTGTATAAATAGTCAATGAGTTTGTTAGCTCTCTTGTGGTTGCACTGAGCAGGCTAGATACTGAGCCATGGGGAGCAGAAAAGAACGGTCAAAAGACCTGCGTAACAAGGTAATGTAACTTTATAAAGATATAAAAAGACATCAAAAGCCTTGAAAATGCAGTTCAATCACTTATTAAGAAGTAGAAAATTCAGGGATCTCTTGATAGCAAGCCAAGGTCAGGTAGACCAAGAAAGATTCCAGCCACAACTGCCAGAAGAATTGTTATGGATACAAAGAAAAACCCACAGGTAACCTCAGGAGAAATACAGGCTGCTCTGGAAAAAGATGGCGTGGTTGTTTCAAGGAGCACAATACGACAATACTTGAACCAAGATGAGCTGCGAGAAAGAAGCCTTTAATGTGCCATTCTATTATAACCTACAGCTGAATATGAATCCCATAAGAAATTAAAGAAATGTGTTTCGCCTGGTCATTCATGTTTTCTTTAAAAATGTTTACATATATTACCAATTCTCCAAGGGTATGCAAACTTTTGAGCACAACTGTAATGTCTTTGATGATAAAGTACTTCTAATGTCTGTCTGTCAGTGCTCAATGAGACCCCCAGTAGCCAGGCCCTTCTGTGCTGCTTGGGGTAATGAAGAAGCATTCACCTGAGCTGCAATGGGCGCTAGTGATTGGCGGAAAGTGTTAGCCTTCACCCAATTACGGTCAGTGTTAAATTGCTCAGAAGGACAGTGCTAGTGGACCTTAGGTGCTATAACCAATTCAAGGAGATTAAGTGGTTATAGAGCCTACAGTGTCCCTTTAAATTTCTAAGCAGAGTAATCAGTCCATGAAACATTCAAATCAATAACAAAAGATTTTAGGCGAAAGCTAAAACAAGAATGGTCAGTAGATATAAGATATTCCCCAAGAAAATTCCATTAAAATACCAATTTGTATTTATTTTCTCATTGTACATGTTTATTGTTATTTTACATTTGAAAAGTCACGTGTCAAATTTCAACTTTTACAGGCAGTCAGGCAAAGAACAGGATACAAAACAAAAGACAAAAATCTTACAGTTATAGGCTTTATTTCTATAAAGGAATTTAAAAGGCAAAGGTGTGGGACACAAGCTAATGGTCTTGAAATGAGATAAAGCTAGTATGGAGATTGCTGTACAAAGCAAGAGAACAAGTTTTCAGTAGACAAAGCACAGACAGATAGGTTCAGCAAGTTGGTTACTTAGATTATCAAAATGCTGGTATGTGTGTGCATTCTAAAGCAGTGTTGTGGGTTATGAGATTCTTCTTAAGAGAAGTAGGGAAATAATGAAGAAAAAAAATAAAATCAGAAAATGTATATTGACCACTTTACCAGCTCTACTGGTGTCCAAGAATATATCCAAAAATCCAGACCTGGAAGAGCATTAGACACCGCATTCTTAAATATGTGCTTTTTTTTCTTCTAATATTACATTTTGATCTTATAAACCCCTTGTGCTGTTTTGTTGTGGGTTCTGAATGTCATGTTTGTGCAAGAGTTTGGCAGAACTAACTCCATCTCAAAGGTTTAGAGACAGTGGACTCAAGTGATTTGTTGTCCCTGGTTTATCATTGGAAAAGTAATGCTAACATGCAAGTGCTGCAGATATTGCACATAAGGCAGAGATCCATATTAAGCCAATGATTCTCCATCTTTGAAATTACAGTAGCATATCAAGGAGAACTTGAATGGAAACATTCCCATATTACCACTGAAACATCTCTCCTCTTATTTGTCTGTTTAGACAAATAAGAGGAGAGATGTTTTAGCAACCTACACAACCTTTAGATTTACTGGTAGCTCCTTGGTAAATCAGATTCTTATTCAAGAGGCAATATAATAAAAGTGATAATAATAGCTTCTGACTTTTTTTTTTAAGAATTTGCACATAGCGTTGCTGTTGTAGTGCCACTCTCAACAGTCACTACTGTCAGACTTGAGCTCAATCAGCTTGATTGGCCTCTATTAACCTGAACAGTTTGTTTTAGATAATGAACTAAAATGTAGTACAAACAAAAAAATATACTAAATAAAATTTAAAGAAAAAATCAGCTTCATCATACAAAAAAAAAAATAAGAAGACACCCCAAACCCATTTTTTGTATTTATTTCTTCTAAACCAAATCTCTAAAGGTCAAATAAATGGCCACACTTAAGTTCATCTCACAGCAGTATTGATCACAAAATAAAAATTTCAATCTGCTTTTGGCATGAACATCCCTAACTTTAATTGGTTTGTGACATTGGCAGCTGCTGGATATAAAGTACTCCGTACTATGCTATGTAGATGTCATGACGTGAGAAATGTGATAGTGCAACTTGCTTGTAGATCATATTGTGCTGTGTAGGAATAATTTACTCTCAGTTTTACACTCAAAGGCTTGGGAAAGTCTAGCTCCCACACGGCCTAAAAGATCGCAAATGGCAGAGTAGGTTATTCATTACAGGTCGGGGTGAAACAGAATTTCCCAAGAAACTGGATTAGGTCTAAAATATTCTGACATAAAAAGTCTGATTATGGCACAGAGAAAATCTCCCAGAATCCCACATGTGCTTATTAATTCTAAAACAACAAATGAAAGAAAAAAACAAAACAAAACAACAAGTTGAGATTTGAAGGCAGAGCAGGGAGGCACATACATTCAATATTTCCTCTAATGCAGCATCCCAAAGCTTTCACAACCTCAAACGTGCTGAATAGATCAATAGGTGGTGGAATCAATATAACATAACATGGATACAGACAGTTACAGTACAGATGGTGGATATAGCTCTTTGCTACTGAAGTCTCTGGCATCAGATAGCTGGCTGTGCAGTAGCAAAAACAAGCTAACCACTTTGATCTTCTCTTGGTCTTCCTCGAAGGCTGTAGAATATTTCTTAAAGGACAGAGCAACGAGGCTTCTTCCTGTGTTTCCGGACTTGTAAGGCAGCCCGTGTGGCCATTTCAAAGACCTCTCGCACTCCATCCTTGGTCTTGGCAGAACATTCAAGGTAACCAAAAGCATTGATTCTGTTGGCCATTTCTCTTCCATCTTCTGGTTTAACTGGCTCCTGTAAAGACAGTAGACAACTTTAGAAGAAGACATTTGAAAGACAATAGAAAACAAGGTTGGAATAAAGCATGGAGCACCAAATTAAATTAAATTAGGAGAATATCCATGCAAAATGTGCAATTGCAAAGGCAAAGTGCTAACTTTTAAAGACATTCTAATAGTCTCACATTGATTGTTTTTTATTTAGCAGACTTGCAAAGATTAGCTTTAAGTGATTTGCCAGAATAAAATTACTGGCAACCGTTTAAGTCAATTCCAAAAATTTGGTTAGTTCACAAATGAGCCAAATTAGAATCATACAAATTAAAATCCTTTTAAAAAAGATGATTATTCAGATGATTCTGATTTTTTTTTGTGTGTAAACCAACCACATTTTTTATAATCTATTCATTCGATGATTGCCAGGAATTTTATTCTAATTTCTGAACACGTCTGTTCAGAAGAGCCGGAGTGGCAAAACGCACGTCAGGGGCTCTTACCTGGCGTTATCCTTCACTCACTGAACCATCAGTGCATATCTCTGTCCCCCCGTTTTTAATAGGAATAGGGCTACGATTACGGCAGAACGAGAGGCTAGGGATGTAAGTGACAGGCAAACAGCTCCCCCTGCCTTTCCTAATCTATACTCAGACTGTATCCCTCTCTCTCTCCCCCTCTACCCCCCCCTTTACTATTGATTGGACCGAGTGTCTGCTAAATCACTGGCCACTTAGGCATTTTCACTGATAAAGTAATTACAGTTATAGGCAGCACCATATTTCTCTACTAAAGCCTGTGAGTGACAATTTATCCTGCTAGTTACTCACCCTCCCGATAAACTGACTCTGTCATTCAGCTTCAGTAACGCTATTAGGTTGCAGGAATTTTCTCCGTACGTTCTTACTAACAGACAAATAGATCGCAGTCTGCAGGGTTGAAATAACTAAACTCTGGGGATTTGGATTAATCGCAAGAGCTCAATTAGACACTTTATTGCTACAATATATCTTACAACAGTGTAGCAACAACGGTCTGTCAGTTTGTGCTCCATGCTCATCTATTAACACCTTCATCACTATTTACTGTTTCAGTGGCATATTGTTCTAACCATAGGAGATTATAAAGCTCGTATGTAGGCTACTCAGCAGAGAAATCCTTTCCTACCTTTAAGAGTCTAGCTAAAGGCACATCGAGTTGTTCACAAAAGTAACTATAACTTTCAGCAAAAGTAATCTTAGGGTGTGAATATAATAATATAAACACTTGTTACACTGCTGTACAACATTAAATTCTACAACAATCTTCAGCAGGTATTGTTTAGCTGATTTAACAGTTTGGAGTATTCACAGCATTTGAATCGGTCATACAAAACTGCATTATTATTAGGAGCACACTAAAGTTGGCAATAGTACATTTACTGTACAGCATTGTAGCCTATAGCTGCCGTTTTTTAACACATTAAGTTTGGTGGGTTACCTGACTAACCGTTATTTTCTTTAGTTCCATATTAAAAGCGAAGTTTTATAATCTTGGGAAATTGGGAATTAGTTACTATATTCTTCACATTCTGTTTCTCTCCAGAGAGAGGGAAACTCACTATTAGGATAATTTACTTATTCCTACTTTTCTCCTGCTTGCTCTCCACTTTTGTGTCTGTTATTTAGCACTAGGCCACAGATTAGCACTCTACTTGTTTCACTTCACCTTAATTTGCTCATTAAAATTAAATTGTTTTAAAATCTATATATAATAAAATCATATTCCACTGTGTAATCGTAACATTGTAATGTCAATGCTCAGAGCAGTGCAAGAAGTAACCTGTTTCATCTTTGTGAGTTCCCGTCGGGTGTGCTCATCATTTCTCAGATCCTTCTTGTTACCAACCAGGATGATTGGAACATTGGGACAAAAATGTTTCACTTCTGGGGTCCATTTTTCAGGAATGTTCTCTACAGGAAAATATAGGCCAGAACATTAATTGATTGACTGTCCTGGCTTCTTGCAGGAGCAAAATACAATTTAAATACGCTTTTTGTGTAGATTATTCCTCTTGAAAAGTTGAAAATGAGACACTGCAAATCTAGGAACACTGCAAACTTTATTGGGGGTTTTACATTGAAGATGTCAGAGGGCGCTAGTAAACTTTAGTGACAAGCTTGGGAACCATTGCTAAGTGGCCATATACGTCTACCATAATATTATATTAATGTATTGTCATTAAAAAATGTTGGTACAATAAAAAACGGTATTACAAGATACACATTTTATCTTATTTTATTAATTTTTTTTACATAATATTGTATAAAAGCCACGAAAAGTATATCCATGGAATTGCATGGAAAATGAAAGAGGGATGGAGTATGGCATTATGACAAATACTGGTTAAAATATTGGAGGACTGTCAATATTAAAATTGCACTCTAAACCTCATAACCACTACAAATTATTAGCCTGTCAACTTTGGTGAAGAGAGCAGATGGTGGGTAACCCTGTTCCACAGACCATAACCACTACAATAATCTGTAGTGATTATGGTACTTACAGTGCTAGGCTATCTTAGACTTAAGATAAGGCCAGGGACTAATTAAAAGTATTTTGAAATATTGGGCAGACTAGATGGGCCGAATGGTTCTTATCTGCCGTCACATTCTATGTTAAAGAACAATAAAACTCAAAATACCCTTGGTTGAGAAACAAGTGGCGGTTTAAAGAAAAGAGAGAGAGATGAGTACATAGAGATCCTGAGGGGTGCATCAGAAAAGAGGACAGAAAGAGACTTCTAAAGAAGTAAAAAAAGAAGAAAAATAAATTAAATCATGACTGTATGAGAGAATCATATGTACATATCCATGTATAGGTCAATGTTGGGACTTTCATCACAAATGTAGTCTAGTGATTATGTGTCCGTCATATTAAAAATGATGATCAGAAGAGCTTAAGAACCGTTTCCAGCACTGCTGTTTATTCTATAAAGTAATTTCCAATGTACAGTTTAGTAAAACTATATTAGTATTAATTAATTTATTTAAAAAAAATAGATGGTCTTAAATTGTATATTACAAAATACATTTAAAATTACACACACAGGCACAGAAGAAGGGTTCTTACCTAAACTGTCTGGGCTATCAATGGAGAAACACATCAAGATGACATCAGTGTCAGGGTAGGAGAGGGGGCGCAGTCTGTCATAATCCTCCTGCCCAGCTGTGTCCCACAGAGCCAGTTCCACCTACAATAACCACATGAATTAACACATATGGAAAGCAAAGAATTGGGGAATTAGCAGAGAAAGATATAAAAAGGTGCAACTTGCAAATGCCATGATGGTCAGGATAAAAATCCAAAAAAGAAGATCTATCCAATCAATGTGGGCCTTAGTCCGTGAGAGTCCATAGGTGAAACTCAAAGATAAGGCCAACTAACACCCAAAGGGAAAAAACAAAATAGGGGTTGGATTGTGTGTATTATCTGGTGTAGTTATATTGAGAGATGGGCTTGCTGTGAAGGATAGTTGTATAAAGTTGGAATATAGCGTGGCTCCAAGTAGTCACTATACTCCAACTTTATACGACTATTCTTCATTTATTCATCATGAATACTTCGATATATACGAATACCCCTCTGTAGTTTCATCTACATTCTTTGCGTTAGGCATTTTTTCACTGCCAGGTTCGCATTTTATATGTATCCATTAAATTTACGAACCGACACTACTAAGTTTTGATATACATATCCATTTATAAATGTTCATTCAAGAGTAATTGGGAACAAAAAATTCACACATTGATATGTCGTTTTAGAATAGATATCTTTTTAAGCGGAGAATTTCTATTCAAATTAATTTAGTAACCCATTCTTGAGATATGTCACTTTTTATTCTTTCAATCATTATTCATTTTTTCAATGGACTAATACTTTCACTTCTTTTATCCAAATTAGCTTCTTGTGTTATTGGTCTACACTTTTAATGTTTATCCAGGTTTATTTATTTTACTATTTTTTATTCAAATGTATGAGTTGCAAAATTGTTATAAGAAGAATGTTTATTCACTTTTCTGTCATGCATTCTAAATATGAACTATCAAAAGATGGATGTCAAATGAATTGATTAACAGTTTTTTTTTACAGTGGATTATGGGTGTGACAGATTTTCTATCCCTGGATTATCGTACTGTTAATTTCTGCTTATTGGTTACACTGGGGAGTTCGGTATATGGGATTCACCAAACATCCGAGACCCATTTGATTTGAATACCAAACAAACTACCGAACAGCTGGGTGGCCGTCGTTCGTATGGATAACCACGTGGCGGCAGCCATCTATAGCAGTGAACGCAAACAGCAGTGTTTGGTCGTCGAGTGCATGGAACTCAAATCAGGCACTCAACGCCACGAACACTGCTAGAACTTCAACTTCCATCAAAGTTCAACGGGTGAGAATTGAACAGCGTTCGGTTGGAATAAGCTCTTGAACGTGGGACATAGGCTGTGCAGTCGGTCTCATTCGGGAGTACAAAATACAACAAAAGTACAGAATGTAACGGTTCGTGGCTATGTTCATTCTGATTTCATAGAACTCTTTTGGGCAGGAGCCTTGTGTGCAGTCGGTCAACATCTCTGGCGGCGAAACTCCCACTCCTCTCAGGGTGGCCACCACAATAGGCTATAAATTAATCATATCAAGATCGATCTAGCCAGTAGCCTCTGATCAAGGGACGTTGATTAGTCACAAAACGCATAAGGCAAGTGTACCTAACAGTTACTCCTTTGGAGGAGGATCTGAGTGGAATGCAGTAGAGCTTTTCCTGGTGGAACGCACGCGACGGTACTTTCCTTTCAAGCCGGCGAGAGTGAATTTATCAAAGGGACCACATTGTTCATACCATCTGACAGTAGAATTCCTGCACCCATACCACACGCCTGTGATTTCTGGGAGTTTGTAAGTGGTTTTAACTGTTATTACTACCAATAAAGTGTTTACAGAGAACACTATGTTTCTTATCATTTACCCTATGTAGACCTCAAGACAACTTTCAACACAAGAGACCATTATATGGTAGAGTATTGTATAAAGAAGAATATATACCTATTTTTCCCTGTCCAATATTGGTTATATTATATCAGCCAAAAATTGCTCTATAAATTCTCTGGAGGTTTCTCGTAAGTGGTACAATTTATAATAGAAATCATGGAATGCCTCCATAATATCTGGGAGCATGTGCGTTATGTGTTCTGATGACTTCTTGATTTTAGCTATAAATGTGGTTTGCTTTAGTGAGTGTGCCAAAAGGTGGCCACGTTTACCTCCCTGGGTATAGTGGGAATATTTACTAACCATTAATTTGAGTTTGATAGTGACATTTAATAGTTGCTGTAAAGTGGATATTTTATCTATCAGTTTTCAGTAGAGATCTATAGAGTTGTAATGTTTTTGTACGGTTTCCAGAGTTCTTATTTCCTAAGTGTGGATATCTGTTGTTCCCTTAGTTTGTTTCTGTTTAGAGGCTATTGCTATGATTTCACCTTTTAGTATGCATTTGTGTGCCTCCCAGGTGATGGTAGGGGACATTGTGGGGGTAGAATTTTCAAGGATGGATTGTTTAATTAGAAGATAGTTTAATTTCCATTGGAATGACTTGTGTGGCAGTCTGGCAGGGAAGGTATTTGAATGGCCAGAGATCGGGAATCATGGTCTGACCAGGTAACTGGGCCGTACTTGCAATTTTGAACGAGATGTAGAAATCTGTGTGGGAGGAAAAGCATGTCCAGTCTCGAGTAACCACCTGTAACTGGAGAGTAATATGAGCCATTTTTCGTGTAGGGGTATGTGACCCTCCAGCAGTCAAATAACTGTGCTTCGTGTAGTAAGTGGTGTATGCGTTGGCACGTAGATGCTTGGTATGAAACAGCGTGTGATATCGTGTCTAGGTCTAAGGCCAGTGAGATGTTCAGGTTTAGGGAAAAGTCTGCAAGTTTGGCAGTATGTGCATTTATTCTAAAGGCATGATTCAGAAATTGAGAGGATATCGGTTTTATAACCTCCAAATATGCCAGAAATAGCCCTGAATAGTTGGAATACTGCATCATATTTTATTGTTGCTTAACCAACCTGTTTTCCATCTACTTCAATATCTGCGATATAGTTTTCAAAGACAGTTGGCACGTAGACTTCTGGGAATTGATCTTTGCTGAATACGATCAGTAGACAGGTCTTTCCACAAGCACCATCACCAACGATCACCAGTTTTTTCCGAATTGCTGCCATGCCTGTGAAGACAAGAGAAGTCCTATTTTAAAAATAAAAATTGCTAAAAATACTTGCAATTTCCTGGTCAACCACCTGATATTGATAAACCAAGAATCTGTATTATTTAAAGGGCACAAGGAGGATTCAATTTAACTGTAGAACTTGGAGAATTGGACGTGGTATAACCTGACATACTTGCTTTCCTAATCCATTGTACAGGTCATCTTTTGTGGGTTAGTACATTGCTGCTTGTAACGGAGCTCCCATTCTCAGCTGGAGTATCTCCACTAGTCCCTTGTATAGCCCAGACATTCAGAGTGATTATAGTCCTTTTAGCAGTTTCCCCAAACAAGACTTGATGCAGGGTGAAACAAATACACTTTTACGGACACACAAACACAACACTTAAACACTTCCAAATGTGTATTCACCCCAGGGAGTGATATCAGTATGCAGAAAATTGGAACCCTAAAACACTATACCCAACATAGAACACCCACAACCAAAACATCCCTGAATAGCTCACCCCTCAGCTACCCTCGGTAGCAAAATGTCCCTAGATATTTCAGGAATACAATTTGGTACACTACACAAAACTTTATTGCTCAACATTTTGACTTTCATAAAGATCTTCTTGCTTGAGGGCCAAAATGCTGAGAGGTAAAATTACTTTCCCCCTCCCCACCAAAAATAAATAAATAAAAATCTGATATTCTGTATATGCAACTCAGGTTGAGCGATGTTGTTTTTGCATTTAGATGCTACAGAGAATATGATTTTCTTACACAAACACACACACGCATCCATTTATAATATATATGTTTTTTTTCCCCAGTCTTTAAGTTTATATGCATGACCAGAAAATAGATAAAAACAACTTTGAGAACAAGGATCAGGGCTCCAAAATAAGAACTAATACAAAAAGAGAATCAGTGTGGGTTAAGAATCAAACTACATAAACTCAGTGTAATTTCAACTAGGGAACTACCTCACATAACCCCAAGAAATGGTATAAAAAGGGAAAAAAACAAAACAACATTATGCAACTTTTGAGCAGTATCATACCAATTAGTCTTTATTGAATAATTAATCTTTGATATTTTACGCAACAAAATCAACATTTTGATCCACTCGTTGTCTATAAACTACTTCTGCAGAGCATCTTCCTAGTACAGCATAAGTTTAAATGGCAGAGTGAGTCCCAAGCAAAAACAATTGATAAAGGGTCAATATACTCTGGGCTAATGGTTCGTCTTAAAAGCAATATTGTTCAAAGGACATAAGTTGCCTGTGTAAGAATGCCATGGGAGAGCACAATTTATATAAAATATCTTAGGTTGATAATACAAGAAGTGTTCCAGTAGAGTAGGTTGTCTAGCCTCAATAAGGTCTGTTGAAGGAAGCAGGTCATCATCTAAATGGAGAGTCCTTGCAAAAAAGGTTGGACTACGATTTAAAAATAATTTATTGAACTTATTTCGTTATTAGTAAGCGAGTAAGAGAGGCCCAGACCGCCAAATTGTGTTGTGATAATGAGATAATATACCTATATCTTAATTAAATACAAATACAGCTTGGACAAAGGAAGAGCATATACTACATAGTATCGCAAATGAGGCATACATACATATGCTAATAAAAGGATTAGGAAATTGAAACTGAAGATTGTCAAACATTTTATACACAGGAAGAATGTCTTGCTAATCTCCATACTGAAATTTTTTTTTTTTTTTATATAAATTCTTTCATAATGTGCAGCATTCTTCTGAATCGGTGAAGTGGAAGCAATTGCACGAAGCAAGACAAGTAATTATATAAATGGAATAAATGGAAGCAGTCAATAACTTATTAGATACACAATCCTTTCCCACTAAGGGGAAGCTAGTGTGGTTTGGCTACATGTTTGCCATTAGCAGTTTCATATTTCAGTCCCAAAACGGCCCTAATGTTATTCGTCACAATTATAATTATTCTCAAATCTGCATTAAGAGAGATTTCTGTGTTTTCTGATATGAAAATAGGGTTTAAAATGAATTTACAGATTGTTGACAAATTCGTCACCATAAATGGTGCATAAGAAAAGGATGTGGCTTTATTAGGGTTCCAAAGTCTTGACATCCTTGTCTCTTGTGTATTCTACTGGAATTGCCATATATCATGTGTGATTCACGTTTAATTTAGGTTTGTTTAATATAATTTTTGTTGATATGTCTCTATAACAATCTCTTCCAAATCAATATTCCATGGATTTGGGGAAGGCCAATGTCAAAATTAAATATAAAATAATATAGGGGGAAAATTGAAAACCATGCCTGTCATAGTGGGAAAAAAAAGTTGCTTATTCTTTTTAATAAATTCCAATATTTGGAATATTTGGTGATTCGCAACATTGGAAATCCAAATGATTGTGATCACTATTAAGCTAAAAAAATTGAACTTTCACCAATTGTATTGGTTTAAATTAAAATAGATTTTTTTACATGTACCTTAGTTACAGTATGTTTAGCTAGAATCAGAAGTGTACTAATTTGGGCGTTTCTGTGACAGTCTGTAACAGGGAGCACAAAGCACCACATCATACCAGAGCAGATACAGGTCTAGTTACAAATAATTGGTGGGGGTGCCTGCTCTACCACTGTTCTGTCAGTGGCTGTGGAGCAGGCTGCATCTCTCTGCACTGATTTCTCATTTTCCTAGCATGCCCTGTACGGATGATGGAGCCAAGAAGTGACATCACTCCCAACCGCAACATTAGTAAACAACTGAAAGGCACAGGGCAATAAGTGCAGAGTGATTCAAGCAGCAAACCAGTGGACCTTTTCTTACCTTTCAGGTAAGAAAAGAGAGGCTGTGTGAACCTCACTGTGAACCCTTCCCCTCTGAAATAAAAAGGAAAATGAAATGTGTGTGACTATGAATGGGTGTGTGTATGTCTGCGTGTCTATATGAACGTGAGCTTGTGTATGAGTGTGTGTGTTTGCGAATGTGTATGTACATGCTTATCAAAGTGTGTGCATGTCCACGTATATACGTATGTGTGTGTTTGCGTATGTGTCTGTTCATAAATATCTATGTGTGTCTGTGTCAATGTGTATGTATATAAATGTAAGTGAGTGAATATTAAATGTCTGCATTTGAGTGTGCGTATGTGTGTTTGATATCCCTAACAAAAGGTGGTTGGGATGGTGCATAGAGATAAAAAAAAAAAAATCTACAGGTCTCAGGAAAGGGTGTCAAAATAAATGTTACGCCCTGGGTGCAATATAACCTGGGTACACCTCTGACTAGAATTACCAACATAGAACTCATGAAACAATTTTAAACTGCCCTTCTCCACACTGAAAAATGTACACATGTAAATATTAATCTATTTGTATTACTGTTCTAAGCCGACTTATGGGAACTGGCTTCCAGGTGATATTGTAGAGGAAGATGGGAAATTTTATCAAATATCAATATCGTTGGGGTACCACGGGCAAGTATGTTTCAACCCTACGCACTGCAAAGATAATTTTAAATTATTATTTTTTTTTTTTAAATTACAAAAAAAACGCCAGCACTAAAGGTTGGTTCCAATTTAAATTTACTTTTCCAATAGATCCATAATAAGTCAACGTTTCAGTTCGGGATCCGTACTTTCATCAATACATATTAAGGACTTATCAATAAGATTCAAGTTAAGTGCTGGCTTTTTTGGAACAAGATTATTTACTGTGTGGCAGGATTTCTCATGCTGTATATAAATAGAAATTGGTTAAAGACATTTCTGTTATATGACCAGCAGATGGCTTACTCTTCCACATCCATTAAAAATATAGTTTACATTCTTTCCCAGAGGCTGCAGTCTCACACCTTTGTCTTTTTCTCTCAAAACCGTTGTGACAAGCAGAAACACGGCCTGTATTTTCAAGCCCTAAAGAAAAAGGGTAGGAGTAGGGCCAAGAAATTACAGTTCTAATGTTTCAGCCAGTATTATCTTGCAATTCAGTTCCGTCCCTCTTAAAGCCCCAATGTCACCGAGTTGATTTATACATATATTATTATTTTATATATTAATATTGGATATATTAAATTGTTTGGTAATCTTTAAAAAATATTTGATAATCTTTAAAAATTATTTAATATTAGGAAAAAATATTTTAAATATTTGATATATATATTTAAATATTTAGAAAAAGTAAAAAATAAAAGCTTATTAAACAATATTAAATCGAGGCCTTCATTTTTGGTTAGTGGCATTCATCATTTAGCCTGTGGCATCTTTTCATACATGAATTGGAAGACTTGTGAAAGATGTCACAAACTTTTCTACTTTCACATTTGTGATAGTAGACCTGTAGTACACCTCCTGGCAAATGAGGCTGCAATAAGGAACGTTGTTGGCTCAAGTTAGGGATTATTTTCAGAGGCTGCTGATGTGAGTGGATGGCGAATGGCAAGTTTATTTAAGAGCCGGTAAGAGGGAAATCATTCATTAACCTTCTTCATCTTACCTCCACACACATTGGGTTTACGTCAAGGGTGCAAGATTTGTGCGGTGATTGGATAGGTTTTAGAGCTGGAATATAAGTTGCAATGTGGTCAGGGGCTTTTCATGCATTTGGATCTTTGAAGGTCCATGGGTGCTTTAAAGTGTAGGGTGGGGATTCCTTCCAGTTTTAACAGCCTTTGACTAAGGGCCCGACCCATGCTAATGAGAGGGACATAGGGGGTTCATTTCATCCCAAAGAGTTTTTTTGTCAGATAAGGTAACTTGAACAGTCAGAAGAAGGAAGTAGAGCAGACATTAGACCCATTGGGCTAGGAATGAGGATGGTCTTCTGGTTGATGACCAATAGGTATGCTTGAGGGTGAGTTAATTACATTAACTAAATTAAGTTATTCAATTATAAATCGCCCTTCTCTTTACCCTCAGCATGTGAAGCGAGGGATTTCCAACAATCTTTACAAACAAAGGTGCATATTCAGATAAAATTTAACCTCTTCTTTTTTTAGCAAATTGCTAAATTGTGCAGATTGCTCTGCTCTTCATTTGGCCCGTTAATATGGTGACAGAGTAAGTAAACAATTCAAAAAATATCTCAAAGGTTATTCTTGTCAACAAAAGGTAAAGAATTGGCCCTGCTTTTAAATTATCTAATATCTATAGTGAAGGGAAATTCACCTGACGTTGGATGAGAAATGAGTCAAGCTGGAATGCAGGTATTTACATTGTCTTGAAAGAACCTGAAAATAATCCGGTCTCTGAAAAGAGAAGAATATTTCCCGCATTCTTAAAAGGTCACACACTGTTACCTATGCTTTAAACAATCAAATGAAATATGAGAGAACTACACATAAAAAAAAAATGGTAAGATACACTTTACTTTATTTTAACAGTATCGTGTAGCAGTGGCAGTCATATAAATGTTCCTGTGAAAGAGTCTATATGCAAAAGTGGACAGAAAGTAGAGGTCAAAGTTATTTAAGGAACACTCCAAACACATTATAGAACAGCCGTCAGAACAGCGCGCACCGCGGTACAGGAACTTAAATGTCAGTTTCCGGGCCGGAATGAAAGGAAGTGCGCACTCAGTGTGCGCACTTCCTTTCAGTCTGGCTGGGTACCGGAAACGGAAATTTAAGTTCCTGTACCACGGTGCGCGCTGTTCTGCTGGCCCACACTGCAATACAGGTAAGTAAACCTACCGGGGACCAAGAGGGAAGAGAGGGGCACTAAGGGACACTATGGGGGGGGGTCTCTATGGGACAAGGGGAAGGGGGGAGAACACTATTGGACAAGGGAGAGGGGGGGAAGAACACTGGGACAAGGGGACACTATTGGATGAGTGGAGGGGGGAACACTATGGGATGAGGGTGGGTTAAAAAAAAAAATCTATGGGACAGGGGAGGGGGGATGTTAAGAAACACTATGGGACAGTTTGCTCAGAATATTTTTTTCTGGGTTTCCTCCTCTAAAAACTAGGTGCATCTTATGGATCAAAAAATACGGTAAGTAGTCAAACAGTTTGGCTTTCTACCTCATCTAAGTCTTCGTGAGAGTCGAAGGCTTCTCGTGGCAGCTTCAGTTAGCGCTCCTGAGCAAAGCTGTACAGTGCATGGCCACCACAATGACTGAGAGCACCAACTGATCACTCTCAGCCAATGAGCTAAGCCCTTTAGTTTAGTCAGAACACTTCCAGTTGAAAGGAAGCTGCAGTGGAGGTGGTGTCTAAAAATGCAGGACACCATGGAACAAAATCAGGACAGTAAGACAGGGCCCCAATATTGGGATTTCATGGGATAACTCACACAGACAAGTATGTTTGTTTTTGTTATTTTTATTTATTTATTTTTTTTTTAACATCTCTCTGCTGCTTAATTCACAGCCGTAAACGCTGCAATAGTGTTTTCTAGGTTGAGAAAACAAATAACTGTACTTCCCAGAAAGTGACCGTTTGTAAACTGTGAATATATTCTATGTATGAAAATGAATGAACAGGGGGGAAAATAGAACACAAAACAAAAAAAACATAAAAACATAATATCAAATCCACATGAATTTAAAAAAAAATTTTTTTAACCGCTTAGATTTAATATGTTTTAGTATTTCTATATATTTCTTCACCTCCCAGCTATCACCAATTCAGGAGGGCCTGGATAAAAAATAAAATTAAATAAAATAAAAAAAACACAAATAAGTGTGACAAAGAAATCAAGTTGTTTAATTTCATTAAAAAACAACAAAATAAAACAGAAAAGAAGCCTGTACAGCACCGTGAGGGAGAAGCACTCCAAGAATTCAAACTACATTCCTGTTGAAAGCCGATTAACATTTACTTCTAACACACTTTACTGTTCTCACATATCCAATTGTGTTTCACCCACTAAATGCTGGGGTTTATGTGCTGAAAACAATTAGAGGCAGTTTTTACCTTTATAATGTAGCTGTTCTGGTGAGTGTAGTAAGTCTCTGCAGGCTTTTTGCAGTAAACACTGTATTTTCAGAGAAAAGGCAGTGTTTACATTACAGCCTAGGGATACCTCCAGTGGCCACTCCTCAGATGGCTACTAGAGGTGTTTCCTGGGGACATTCCGAGTCTCCACCTTCTGCATGCTGACACTGAACTTTCCTCAGAGATGCATGGATTCAATGCATCTCTATGAGGAGATGCTGATTGGAGTTGACATTTGGCTCTGTCTTTGGCTGAGATCATCAGAATTGACAATCATTGAAAGCTTGTTGTTGGTTGAGATCATAAAGTCTGATGATGTCAGCCAAGGAGGCAGATTAGGGGCAGAGGCAGAACCAGCAGACTGAAATAAAGCTAGGAGTTTACTATATATTTAGGAGGGTGACTAGACTGGACTAGAATTAATCTAAAAATAAATTTAAAAAAAGTAAAATAATAAAAAGAACACCTCAAACCTCAAAAAGGGTAAAAGAATTAAACATAAAAGAAAAAATGAAACATGTTTGAATGCAGTGTGACTAACACTATGCACAATTAAGCAAATTATACAATTTTTTCCACAAAATTAAATTTGGTCATTGTAGCCTTGCCTCTCAAATTTACAATTTGGAGTATCAAGGACTAGTTACAAAATGTTTCTTTAATATTATAAAATACTATAATTGTTAATAAAATCATTTAGAGCTGTACTCAAATCCCTCTGGGAAATTCTATTGTTTTTGACATAAAGCTCAGAAAATGTTTTATATTTACGGAAGTACAGGAATCTCTCTGATGTCTAATAGCAGAGACTTCGTTCAAAAGTAAAAGAAAAACAACTATGCCTTTAGATATTTCTATTTTCATTGCAACAATGAGTCTAATGCTTCATAGTCCGATTCAAACAATTTCAAGGACACTGGTTGTTGAACAGCTAGCTTACTTTATACATTTTACCTTTCATAAATTAAAATTAATAACACTTAAGTTTATTTCCAACAACTTCTTAGCCATATTATCATTTAAACAAGTCGCACAAAGCTCTAAACCAAGGGTAGCCAAATATTGGATGTACAGCTGTTCAGGGACTACAATACCCGTGAACATTTGTGAGTCATTAGTTTTTGGATCACTGCTTTAAACGATTAGCAGACCCCAAACAATGTTGATTTTATAAAGAGAACGCAACGGAAAATAAAGCTTGAGGTAGGACCAACTTAATGGTTACTGTGTCCCTGTGCAATATTTCAGGACCCTTTTTGCGCCATACAGTGGTCTGTTAAAGTGGTTTATGGAAAAACACACACTGGTGGCTTTCAATAAAGTCAAGACATTCCTTTCTTAGAATATATACAATTTCATGGTTACACAAATATATTGCTAAACAAAATATATATTTTTGTACTCCGCCACTTTTGCATTGAACCAACCACAGGAAAACCAAACCGGTTCATAAGCAAGTTACACCTGGAACTGAATAGCCCTTGGTTGCACACAAACAGCAACAGGGGGAACTTGTGCACTAATAGGCCAAGAGTGGTGAGTCCATATAAATGAAAGATCAGGAAAGGTAGAGGATGATTTAAAGATGTACCACAGACGTAGCAGAAAAGAAGGTGTGAAAAAGGATGAGCTAGTATTCTCCTATTTTCAAACTTGAGACACCGTGAATAATAATAATTGTTTGTGCCAGTCATGTATTCACACACTGCTATAAATTTAAATGGACTACGCACACAAGTGTTTCATGGCGAAAACTATGAACTATCTGTTAAGAAAAATAGCTCATTACAACCAATACTCATCAGTCAATATAGGTCAAATATCAGCATTTCCACAACAAAATACAAGATTACAAAAAAAGTAATAAAAAATAAAATAAAAAAATACAACCCCCCCAAAAGTTCTACTATTTTCACCATACAAGTAAAAGTGTCAGTCTAGAGCAGGACTTAAAACCCAGATGACAGGGAGCTATTGCATCTATAATGCTACTGCTAGCATCTGTTGTACAAACATTTATACATCGTTTAAACCAAAGCATTGCTGACCAACGTAGTGGACGCAAACCTCTGGAACTAATGTGCAAATTCCTTACTGCAGGAAACTAGAGGTCCTATTGTCTTGTCTAAATTATAGAATGAACAATAATATGCAATTCACAACCTACAGAGATTTTTCTCTCACAAAAATGTTTAAAAAACAAAATTTAAAAAATTATATATTATATATATACACACATATACATATACACACACACACACACACACACACCACTTCTTTTTTTTTTTTTTCTTAACAAAGCAGGAAATATAGGTTTAAACAGTTTAACTTCAGTTATTAAAGGACCACTATAGTGCCAGGAAAACATACTAGTTTTCCTGGCACTATAGTGTCCTGAGGGTGCCCCCAGCATCAGGGTCCCACTCCCGTGGCGCTGAGGGGGAGGAAGGGGTTAATCTTACCTCTTTCTCCAGCGCCGAGCTGGGAACTCTCCTCCTCCTCTTCGACTGAATGCGCATGCACGGCGCGACAGCCACTAGAGGCTTGATTAACCCTAATGTAAACATAGCAGTTTCTCTGAAACTGCTATGTTTACAGCAGAAAGGGTTAATCCTAGATGGACCTGGCACCCAGACCACCTCATTAAGCTGAAGTGGTCTGGGTGCCTATAGTGGTCCTTTAAGGAAATTGTATTGCACTAAAAGAGTTCAATACAATCCAACAATTTTCCCCAATTATATTTTTTCCCGATTTTCAATTTCTTAGATGACTGCAACCCTAGCTACTATAGTCTTACTAAAATAAGTGGCATTTCCCCAACATTGCTGTCTCATTAATGGGCCGTTCCAAGCACCAAAACAACTTCACCAGTTTTGTGAATGGGGAGTCACTGATTGGCGTCAGCTAACCTCTCTCAGGGAATCAGTGGTGTCCCTTACCGGCTCCATGCTTCCTAAAAAGAAGAGTGGAGGGGAAGAGTGGAGACCAGCACTGGAGGAAACTTGGGGTTAAACTGTCACATTGCAACAAAGATGCGAGGTACAGCTTTACTGTATACAGAAACAAAGTTTCGCATCCCTGTTGCAGTGATGCAAATGCAAACTTTGCCCCTGAATCGAATGTGCATTCAAATTTTGGAAACTTTATTTTGACAAAATAGGTGCGTATTAGATTTGAGTATATATATGAAATATGTGCACAGAACTCAGGGATAAGAGAGAGTTTTAACAGTTCAACACTTTTTTTTTTTTTTTTTTTTTTAATGCAGAGTCATGTTGGATCATACAAACTGTTCTATTTTTAGCTCCCTATCTGTGTTTTAACGACTTATCACTGTGACTAAAACGTTGACTTCCGTCATCAGATCTGACAACCTAATAAAAGTCTGTCAAATGAAAACCATTTTAAAAGCTCATTCTTATTTATGGTTTGGAATGGTCTACATATTTAGTAATCCCCTGTATATTACACAGTATAGCGGGCTTGCTTAGTGGCAAAGCAACATAAGCACACCACTTGTAAGGAAGCAGGAAATTCCTCTGATAACACACCAATTGTCTTATTGCCTTTCAATTCAGCTTGCTTTAAATGATCACCTGAGTGTTTTGTGGTTTCCGTAGCACATACACAACAAAGTAAAATTCTCCAAACAAAAAATACAGCAGTTTATAGTTACCATGGAAACTATCTCTACTGACAAATAAATCACTCTGTGACTCTGGTAGCATCACTTTCCAGGAAAGAGCCCACCCAAGTCTCCCCTGCAATCATACACATTTCCCAGACTACAATCATGCTCCACGGAAGATTCCATAAGGCATAGGGAGCATGGGAGGCAGTCGCCTACGGTGGCAGGGAAGCAAGCCGCCAGCAGGAGCACTGTAGGCGGCAAAAAGTGCTGCGTTTCAGCTACGAAGTGATCCTTTGGCAGAGGTACCCAGTCGGGGTGCCAGGTTATCCGTTACACACACACACACACATACATTTTCTCACACACAAACTGAGATTTGAATTTAAATCCACCCAGCCTCCCTACCTTTGGGACACCAGTGTTCGCCAGTGTTTGTGACCAAATGGCTACTAAAAAAGACTGGACATACCCCATTTGCAAAACCTTGGGTTGTCTACTATTGCAAATGGTATGCCATTATGGGTGTAAATTTCATTCCTGGGCTACTATACAGTCTCAAAGGCAACGTAACCAATCTGGCGAATTTCAATTTCAAATGTAACGTGCTATATTTGACCCTGTAACTTCCCAAAACGCCATAAAACCGTACATAGGGGGTACTGTCTTACACGTGAGACTTTACTGAATACAAATATGTGTATTTTTATTGCAGTAAAAGCAAACAGTATTATGACATTGACCGTTAAAATGTCATGTAGAACTAAAAAAATATTGTATTTTCTCCCATTTTTTTCATATTAAATTATGTTTCATAGCTAAATATTTGATATTAAATGAAAGCCCTGTTTCCCCTGAATAAAATGATATATAATAAGGGTGGGTGCATTTACTATGAAAGAGATGAATTACGGTTGGACAGACATGTAGCGCAAATGCCAGGTTTTGTTTACATTTTGTTTTGTTCACAACGTGTACATTTGGCTCCGTCCTTAAGGGGTTAATGGGACACATTGGCCTTTTATACAATTTCCCAGGCCAGAGGAACACCCCTTGGACCTGATGAGGCACAGGAACACAAAAGGACATAAACCAATCAGAACAAACATACAGTCTGTGACACGCCCATATACAGCACACAATCCCTCCCCTCTGCTTAGGAGATAATTGAGTAAAGTCCTGTAAGTAACTCAATTATCTCCAGGCAGAAAAAAAATTTCACAAAGTTCATAAAGTACCCAAAACTAAGTATCCCCAATCTGGGTGAACAACATATCAAAAAAAAACAAAAAAAAAAAAAACCACCCAGATCAGTTCAGGAATTTCCTGGAAGTCATAATTTTAAACCGACCGCAAGCATGGCCCCATGCCCAAAACATTTCCAGGGAAATCAGTGCTAATAGTCAGTCAAGTTTGGTAGTCTTTTACACGTTTCCCTGCAGGGCCCATAGTCTGTGGGCAGGAGGCTGGCAAGCAGGCTCCTCCAGGAGCTCGTGGCAAACTCACTTGAAAAGGGGAGTTTGTCAGTGTGTCTCTCTGTTTAGGTACCTGCCCCCCTCTAATCCCACAAGAAAGTTGCTTTTACTCCCCTTTTTTCCCACACCGTGCCCATTTCGCCATGGCCAAGGCTGGTCAGTCATAATGATCTCAGCTAATGGAAGATAATGCGCATGCACAGCAAAACAATGTGCCAATCAGCAGCTCTGAACATAGGTGCAGCACTGACCAAGGACTCTAGTGGCTATCTGAATGACTGTTACTAGGTAGCAATGCAAACACTGCCTTTCCTCTGCCAAGACAGGCTGGATTAACCCCGCAGTGTAAACATAGCAGTTTCTCGGAAACTGCTATGTTTTCAGCTGCAGGGTTACAACTAGGGGGACCTGGAACCCAGACCAGTGATAAAACCACCCCCATCCCTTAAAAAGGTGTTAAAATGTACTTTATTTCCACTGCCATTGCTGGCCTCGTCCCCGATCCACCTACTTGCTGACATTATCAGCATTTATTTTATTTTTTTTCAAGGTGTTTTTTTTTATTATATTTGTACAGTCTTAGAACACCAACAAATAAATAATCTTGTCGCAGGAATAAACTGGTACAAAACTGTAAGGATTCCCAACCTTTAGTCTTTAAACAATCCTTAGAATGCATTTACGGAGTCTGGAACCAGCTGGACCATCTCCCTACCATTTTTAAAACTGGCTCCATTTGGGTGGTGTACATACGGTATATTTATAATTTCTCAGATGATTAACGTTTGTACTATTCCAGTCTAATGTTATGTCCTGTTCTAACAAAGAAAAGAAAGCCATAAACCCAGCAAGTGTTTGATCGTTTCTTTAAAACGGTTTATTAGCTACACTGCCTAGTCTATAGCACGTTGTACAGTAAATTGATGGTCTGTGAGCAGTGTTGTACTTTGGTAAGGACCAATCCCAAATCTCCTGGTTTAACATGGAGAATGTCACAGTGCAACCCTTTTTTTTACAGAATGAAACACTTAAAATCCTTTTTAACTAGTGTGGTGTCAAAACCACACCTATTCTACAATTTCGTACCTAAGCAAACACCTATAAAAATGTTCAACATAAAAAAGGGGGAAAGAGCACAACATAATTAAATAAGTACTTTAAAACAACAAGAAACTTTATTTAAAATGCAAAACAGGCACAAGTGCAAAAATGGTATGTTAGAATAGGTGTAGATAATGGATAACTATTGCCAAGATGGCTTAGGTGCTAACCGTATTTAATGTAGACCTCAAAACTCAAGAAGATAATTGTCGTTCCTGTACAGAGCATTTGAGATCTGTCTGGATAAGGAAACCTACTCGATGCATACGGCAATATAAGTGTTTTACGTTCTCTTACCCTACTAAAAGTTAGTGCGTTAAATGTAACCCGTATATATATATATAAATATGACTGTGTATAGATGTAAGCCAAGCCTTGTTGACAATCTACTATATTTTCTGTATTGACCAATTTATAAATTTACCCGGTTAGTTTTTTTTTTTGTTTTGTTTTTTTTAAACAAGCCTGTTTTGCGTGTGTGTGTGTATATATATATTATTATAATATCATCATGTTAACAGTTTAACTATTTTATAGTTCTTGCATTATTATGTAGTGTAATTTTCCTCTTTGTTTTACTGCCGAACATTTTTACTAAAGGCCTTATCTTTTTCCTTTTTAATTCGTTTTTTTTTTTTGTATTGATTCCCGTTTAGAATTTTAAAATAAATAATAATAAAAAATTTTTTAAAAATTGCAATCGGAACATGTAAAGATTGTGATCACTCAACGTTTTTTCACACCTCCGGTAGAAGAAAAAACATTCTTAAACGTGGCATAATAAAAATAAATCTTTTTTCCAATCAGGATGTATTATTTATTACATGTAACATTATATAAGCCATGTCTTCTTTTGTTTAAACGTTTACGTTTTTTCTCATGTATAAATTGGATTCATTGTTACATTTTTTTTTCTAATCCTGTTTTTGTGTACTTTCTGATTATGTAACAAATTATGTACAGTCTATGTACTTTTTTTTTTTTTTTTTTTCAAAAAAGGCTTTATTCAAACATAAGCATTTCAGGGTATGCCCTGATCCGTGTACATTAGCAAGTATCAGTTGATTGAACAAGTAAATAACAAATAACGGACTCGCAGGTCCCAACATTAAGTGTGCAGACAACACTCAAACAATGTTACTTAGTATTTCTATATGACATTTGGTCACGTTTAACACGTTAAGACATACATATGAGTGATCGGAATGCGGCTTGAATAGAGGGATATTCATAAGTTTGTGCCTTGCGTCTGTTTTATGTGATCCTCTAGTATTACCTTATCACCCTTAAGCCTCATTCTCTTTGGGGTAGTGAGGTCTATTGGTCCGTCGTCATGTCAGATGTCGTTCAGGGACTTGTCTTACTCGTGTCGTATAGTTGCGTGATGAGGATGTTTGCGTACATTTTGACGTGCAAATGTGAGTGAGTGACACAATTGTGGGCAATCTCAGATTAAGGCGGGCTACGTTTATCATATAACTTATAATGAAGCTATTGTTGGGGAGTTTTAAAGAGAAGATGAGTGTTAATTGAGGAAGAAGTAAGAGAAAAGGAGGGGGGGAAGAGGAGGGGAGAGCTGGGTGAGGGGGGATAGGGGAGTATGAAGGGAGAGGTGGTCCCGTCATCCGTGACCACGGCGTAGTATGTATCGGACCAGGCATCAGTCCCCGTCTGTGGGTGGTCCTGGGGCTCCTTGGGGTTGCGAACGGCCGTTGCTATCTGTGTTTCGGTCTGCTATGTAGAGTAGCCACGGGCGCCACCTCTCCAAATGCTTGTCTTCTAGTCCTCGTAGTGTAGCCTGTATTAATTCCGCTCTATATATTTCTTCCACCCGTTCCAACCATTGTCTTATCGTCGGGGTAAACGTTTGTTTCCAGTATAATGGAATTAGTGCCTTGGCTGCGTTGATTAGGTGTCTACGAATGTTTTTCCTGTATGTGCTTATGGGATCCGATGTTGAGTGTAGGAGGACTGCCTCTGCGTTGAGGTTTCCTTCCGTCCCTGTGAGATCCCTTATTTTCTGTAGAACTTCGTCCCAGAATGGCTTAATGAGCGAGCATTCCCACCATATGTGCAGTGGCGAACCACGTTCATCTCCGCATCTCCAGCATATGTCAGGTACATTCGGGAAGATCCTGTGTAGACTGTCGGGTGTTCTGTACCAGAATGAGAGAAGTTTATAGTTGGTTTCTTGATATTGGGAGCTCGATGAGCATTTATGGTGTAATATGAGGATCTTTTCCCATTGGGATGTGGTGAAAGATGTATTTAGCATGCGTTCCCAGCGTCTGCGGAATTGGTCGTTGTTAGTGAGGTGCCCTACGAGTACGTGTTGGTATAGCAGGGATATCGCTTTACCTAGAGTAGTCTTGTGATCGCAGAGCGTTTCGAACCATGTCAAGTCCCTGTGTAACTTTTCCTTGTCTGGAAGTGTCCGGTAATATGTTCTGAGTTGTATATAACGGAGGGTCTGTAGGCTAGTGGGTTGGTCACCCTCTATTAGGTCCCTCAGGGGGATCATATCTGCGTTAGTCAACACCTTATGTATGGGGTGTGATTCCCTCTCTCCCAGGAAGGACCATGCTGTCCGTGGTAGTCCTCCCCCTATCTGGGGGTTGTATTGTATCTGGATCATCGGGCTCGGTGCTGGAGAGACATGAGTAGCTTTTCTGATATAGTCCCACGTTTTCAGTGTCTGTGCCACGGTAGAGGATGGTTCCAAATTCGTCTGCGGCATCTTCTTCGTATTCCACACTGATGTCAAGAAGGAGGGGCCTATATGTTGTTTGTCCAATTCGATCCATTGTTTATGTTCCGGTTGGGTATGCCATTCAAGGACGCGTTGTAGTACTGTCGCGTGGTGGTATTTGCGGAGGTCAGGGAGTGCCAATCCCCCCCATGCTCGGGGTAGGCAGAGGACTTCCTGTCGTAGTCTTGCCTGTTTCCCATGCCAGATGAACTTCACCATCGCGGAACGTAGTGACGCGAAATATGCCGTCGGTAAAGCTTGTGGAATCGTCTGGTATAAATATAACAGCCGTGGTAGAATATTCATCTTAAGTATTGCGATCCGGCCTAACCAGGAGATGTGTGGATATGTCCACGTTTTCAAATCTTGTTGGATTCGTTGTAGTAGTGGTAGGAAGTTTGTACGATACATGTCGTCCAGGTCTCTGGTTATTGCGATACCTAGATACCGCATATGGTTTGCGCACCATCTAAACGGAAATTGGTTCTTCAGTGTGGATGTTTGGGCCGTTGGGGTGGTAATGTTAAGCACTTCACATTTATTCATGTTCAGTTTGAATCCTGAGACCTCCCCGTAATCCGTGATCATAGTGACTAAGTGTGGCATTGTTGCCTCCGGTTCCGTGATAAAAAATAAGAGGTCATCTGCGTATGCTGCTACTTTGTGTGTTGTGTCCCCGCTTTTGAAGCCTTTGATTGTATCCGATGTGCGCACCGCTTCCAGGAACGGTTCGAGAGCTAGGGCGAAGAGCATGGGGGAGAGTGGGCATCCCTGTCTTGTCCCATTGTGGATCTGGAAGGAGTCGGTAAGCGCTCCGTTCACTCTCACCTTCGCATTGGGGCAGTGGTAGATCGCATCAATCCATTTCATCATGTTCTCTCCGAAGCCCATTTCCCGTAGCGTGGTCATAAGGAATGTCCAGTCAACCCGGTCAAATGCTTTTTCCGCATCCGTTGACAATAGAAGGAGCTTATCTGTTGATTTCTTTGCCAGGTGATGGATGGCCTGCACTCTAAGAGTGCTGTCCCTGGCTTCTCTCCCTGGGATGAACCCCGTCTGGTCTGGGTGGACCAATCTCGGAAGCATTTTCCCTATTCTGGTGGATAGTATTTTAGTGAGGAGTTTCACGTCCACATTTAGCAGTGATATCGGTCTATAGCTACTGCAGAGTTCGGGATCCTTCCCAGGTTTCGGGAGAACCGTTATAGTTGCCGCTAATGATTCGGGTCCGAGTCGGGCGCCGTCTATCAAAGCGTTAAATGAGTTGGTGAGTCTCGGGAGCAGTAGGGTTCGGAACTTTTTATAGTAGTCCAAGGTAAAGCCATCAGGACCTGGGGCCCGTCCCGTTTTGGCGGTCTTGAGTGCCCCTGCAACTTCTGCCTCCGTAATCGGTATATCAGGGACTCCGATTCCCCTTGCTGCAACCTCGTCTTCATGTGTGATTCGATATAACTCCTTATTCTATCCCGTCTGAGTGTTACCTCCTCCGGTAGTGTGGGTCCCGGGATGTTGTATAACGAGGCGTAAAATGTGCGAAACTCGGATGCTATTTTGTCCGGGAATTGTGTGATCGTGCCATCTGATGTCCGTAGTTTATGTACCTGGGTCATGCCTTGGGGGCCTCTAAGCATTCTGGCCAGCAGTCGCCCTCCTTTGTTGGCGTGTTGGTAAAAGAAGGCCTTCGATCGTTGTATGGAGCTATAGTGTCGTTTCGTCATGTGTGTATGTAGAGATCTTCGAGCTTCCAATAATTCTTTATACGTCCCCTCGAGTTGTGAACGTTTATGTTGCAGTTCAAGCGTAGTTATGCGCGTTAGCAGGTCTGTTATATGTTTCCGAGATTCTCTCTTCTTCTGAGAAGCTAGGCGCATCAGTGTCCCTCTGAGCACACTTTTGTGCGCTTCCCATATCGTGGTCGCGGGAAGATCACCTGTCTCATTCAGTGTGAAATAGGAGGTGAGTTCCTCGGAAACCTTTTCCTTCACTGATGGGTCCAAGAGTAATGAGTCCTGGAGTCGCCACGACCTAGTGGTTGGGCGTACCCTAGGGGAGTCCATTTGCAGGGTCACAGGACCATGATCCGACCAGCTTGCTGTTCCGATTTCTGCTGTTTGGATAGCGTCAAGATGTTCCTGTTGAAGGAAAATGTAGTCAATCCTTGCGTATCGCTTATGTATCACCGAGTAGTGAGTGTATTCCCTGTCTGCCGGGTGCATCGCTCGCCAGCAATCCACCAGCCTAAGGTTCTTTAGTGTTTTTTGAATGCTTCGGATGGTTCCTTGGGTGATGCTGCTATGTCCCGTGGATGAATCTATGAGAGGGATGAGGGGAACATTAATATCTCCTCCAACGATTAACGTGCCCTCCGTGAATGAGGAGAGGTTGGAGAGAGATTTACGTATGAAGTGTGATTGGTTGTTGTTTGGTGCGTATATCGTCACGAGGGTGTACCTACGGTTTTGTATGTCTCCCTTAATGAACAGGTATCTGCCATTAGGGTCAACCAGTCGCTCCACTTCCTGGAACTGTAGTTGAGCATGGGTGAGAACTGCTACACCAGCCTTACGTGCAGTCGGGTGGTTGCTGAGAGCCGCAGTGGGGTAGTGTTTGCTCTTCAACGGCGGAGCATGTCCTTCCTTAAACTGTGTTTCCTGTAGGAAAGCAATCGATATGCGCTTAGAGGTAAGCTCTCGGAGAAGGTGCGATCTGCGCTCCGGGATATTTAGGCCCCTGCAGTTCATGGTTGTGATGCGTAGAGGGTCAGGTTTGTAGGCCATTTGCGATTGGTGGGGGTGGTTCGCCATGTCCTTTAACGTTTTGTTTACTCTTCTAGTCGGTGCCTGGTGTCGGGTGCTGCCCCGTCTCTTTTAGGAAATGCCGTGGGCACGGAGGTGGCAGGGGGGGGTGACGGTAGTGTAGAAGTTGGGTAGGGGCGGTTGGATCAGAGTCGTATGGGGAGGGATGAGGTAGGGTGGAGTTTGAGAAAAGATGTAGAGAGTCCCCTAGGCAGGGGTATGAAGGTAGAGGTAGGTTAGCCGTCCCCAGAGGGGGACAGTACGGCACCTAGAGGTAGGTGTCAAAAATCCCTCCTGTGAGGGTTGGTTCGCGTGACCACGGTAGCAGTCAGTAGTCGGGTCTGTCAGAGAATATCTAACGACCTCCAACTATCGACTCTCCGTGGTTCGAATTTGTTCACGCGGACTTGGCGGGGGTTAGTGGTCTAGTCTTCGCGCGTTCCCACCACGTACGGTGTATCTACTGTTTGTCGTTACAGGTATATAAGTCCGAGATTACCCAGTGGGTGTGCCACCAGTGTGGGAGCATTTGAGTGTCGTTAGCGTTAGTGTGAGTAATGGGTCTAGTCTGGTGGTATCAGCAGTTATTAGTATTGTCGCTTTTCGTATCCTTGGTTGATGTAGTGCTATCGAGTGGTGGAGTGTTTTTAGGCTGTATGGTCGGTGCCAGGGTCAGGGTCTATATCGGATCGGGGCAAATTCCTGTGTCTGGGGTAGGGCAGAGTCCTGGTGTGGCATGACTGTCACGTAATGTGCGGGATGTTTGGTTCGCTCTGGGGGTAAGTGGTGTCATCTCCCCCAATTTCAATGAGATAGCTGTCCCGGTCAATATTGTGGTGAACAATTCAAAATGTGCATCATATCTCACAGTACATTCCCTCCCCACCCAAACCGCAGAACAAAACATATATACATCAGTTGCAGCATTGGATCCCCTTCGTGTACCTCCTAGTTCCCATCTTCCTCTTGCAGCACCCTCGTCTCATGTTGGTGTACCTGTGTGTGACCGTATCTAGGCCTGGGGGGGACGGGGTGATATCGTGTATAGCGGTTCCTACCTAGATCTGCTGTGGTCATGAGCTATCTGCATCAGGTGTCCTACGCTAAGGGATTCTAAATTCCACCCTCCCATTCTCCCGTATCCTCCCCCACTCCACCAGTTTGAACTGTTGGCCTAGGAATACAACAATCAGTGTCTCGCTGGATCTAAACTACCCCCCATGCAGCCCAATACAGTCCCACAAATCCCTCCCCCCTGTCTGCACCCAGCGTAGGTCCGCAACATGCAGCCAGCCCAGCGTTCATCATTCCCCCCTGAACCTGTTAGCACGAGTCCTCCAGAGTGTCGTGTCTCTGCCAGTGCAGGTATCCAGTTCTGGATCATATTCTTTTGTCGGTTCCTTGTAGGTGCGGTGGCAAGTCCAGCCAAGGGATCCGACTCGTGATTCTTCAGCTTCCCTGGGTTCCCAATGTGGCTATCACAAGCCTTCCCCCCCTCCCAAGAGAGTCTCGTGATAGTGCCAACCCCGTGTGCCACAGGCTATGGAAAGGTGGGTATAAAGTGGGGAGTATCTTGGCCGGTGGGGCCTAGTAGAACTGGTACCAACAGTTCCATCTCCTGTGGTCAAGAGCCTGTTATGTCCCTCCTAGTCCCCATCTAGATTGTGTGGGTCGCTGGGTGTGCGCACACCAGAGGTAGCGTGCGGAGTTGGCTCCTTGGGTCAGTGGGTTGTGGGTAATGAGTTCTGTCTGCGGGGCGTCGGTTGCGTCTACATCTTTTCAGGTAACCTGATCATAGGTGTCACAGAGAGACGAGCCCGGTGCCATCGGTGCTTGGCTATTCTTCTGGGTTAGATGGGTGTGAAGGTGCTTCGTGTATGCGGTTTTCCCTTGGGCCTCTCCGTGAGTGCCTTGGTTGTCTTTGTGGTCTGGGTTCTCGGTCCAGTGGTTCCAGGATCCAGTCTGGGATAGCTATGGGCGGGAGGTCCAGCCGTTGGAGAAAGCGTGGTATTTCGTCCGGCCAGCGCGCCACGACCCATTCGTTTTGGTGTCTCACTTGGATGCTAAATGGGAAGCCCCATTTGTACGGGATATTGCGTTCCCTTAGTGCTGTAGTGATAGGTCTAAGAGCGCGTCTAGCCTCCAACGTGGTAGGGGAGAGGTCATTATAGAGGGAGACTTCCGTTTCTTGATAACGCCACGTGGGTCGAGCCCTAGCCCGTTGCATTATGCGATCTTTAAGGGGAAATGAGTGCAAGCAGCATATAATGTCTCTGGGGTCCCCATCTCTGATTCTGGGTCTCAGTGCCCTATGTGCACGCTCAAAGCGTATATTTGGTGGTGCGTCAGGTCCCAGGATTTGGAGGAAGAGCGCGGTGAGCAGCTCTTCTACATTTTCCTGCCCCTCACCCTCTGGAACCCCTCTTACCCGGATGTTTGAGCGGCGGCTCCGGTTATCTAGGCCCTCTATTTGCCTGCGCTGGGCCAGCAGCATGTTGCCCTGCCTTGTCAAGGCTGTGTCAGCAGCAGTTGCACGGCGTTGTGATTCTAGGGCCTGTGTTTCCAGCATTTGGATGCGTCCATCTTGTGCCTCCATATCTGTGCGCAGTGCTGAGACTGCTGACGTGAGGGAGGCCGTGAGGGTGGCTGTGAGGGACTGCAGGTCGGCTTTGGTTACCATATTGGCTGCCAGTCGTCTGATTTCAGCTCCTATGTCAGCCAGAGTAGGCTGGTCGGGTTCCGAGCAGGAGGAGGCTGGGGAGACGGGCGCCATCTTGGAGCCGTGTGCCTCGCGGCTCGGTCCCTGCGAGGTTTGCAGGAACCCGTCCATCGGTCCTGACGGCGGTGCCGGTGGAGCTGCCCTGGGGGTATGTTGGGGCTCTTGCCTTTTTGTGCGTCCCATTTAGGCAGGCTGGCGGTCGGTAAGTGGCTGATGGTAGCTAGGTGGCAGGGAGCTCGGGACTTACACGTCCATGTCTGTCGGACTTCAGGCCACGCCCCCCAGCATTTATTTTTTAGCCAATCCAAAGCTTTCCCACAGGGACAAGGACAGTCAAACACCAGCTAAACCAATCAGCACCTCCTCATAGGAATGCATTAAATCAATACATCTCTATGAGGAGACGTCAGCATCTCCATGCGGAGTGTGGAGATAATGTGCAGCACTGCCCCAGGAAGCACCTCCAGTGGCCATCTGAGGAGTGGCCTCTGGACGTGTCCCTAGGCAGCAATGTAAACAAGGCAATGTAAAAACGTTGCCGGGCAGAAAAATTTCAGTCCTGAGAAATCAAAATCATTCAAGTGCTCCATTGTCTAAGTGGTCTAATGAAAGCTCTGGTAATGTATAGAATATTCTGGATATCACACACACAATCTGACATACAATGTATGTCAGATTATATGTGATTTCCAGGATATTGTATATGATTTGCAGCCATCACCAAAAGAATACTAAATACTGTTTAGTGAGTATAACTAAACAGGTAATATCAGCGGGAGGGAGGGCGGAAGGGACAGCCTGTCACCTCCTCCCAGCTTCACAGAGTGCCGCACTGGAGGAATGGAGGGAGGTGGAGGCTGGCAGCGGCAGTACAGGCAGCCTGGAGAAAATGAAGAGGCTGAAGGGAGCTGCTGTTGCATGCTCACTCCCATCAGCCTCAGCCAGCACCAAGACCCCAAGCAAGTCACCCTACTGGACGAAAAAGGTAAGCTAACAGGAGAGTGGCTGCAAATATATTAAGTATGTGGCGCAGTAGTCAGTGAAGCCAACTCCCTCAAATGCATTTTTGCATGTTGGGATGTCTGTATATAGAATTAATTTTGTTGAAATGTAAACATGGTGTCTGTCTGTAAATATTTGCATTTTCGCAAAGGCTGAGAACCGTGGAACATGATCTGATCCAACAGAGCTTCTGTGCACAAAACATCCCCTCCTCTCCAACTTTAACGTGCTATATCAATTTATATTCTATTCTCTTTAAAGTGGCAAGAAAGTCATGTTTGTTGATGAGGGTGCCGTTTAATATCCAAGGATACAGCTGTATGAATTATTGAGAACACAACTGGGTTATTAGCTATCCAGGCATTTGTGCACAATTGACAAGTAAATTGTACACTTTTAACCCATAAATAGCCCAATTGTAAGAGTTCTGCAGTGTATACAAATGAGTTGCTCACTTTTAAACAGTCCAAGCCACCGCAGTAACTCTGCTTTGGTTTCATTATGAGTTAAGGACATTTATTACTCATTCATTAGGTACAAATTATCCCAGTGACTGAGAGGATGAGAGATCTGCACATGCTATATCTGTCATCCAAACTCTTCCCAAACAATGATTCACAATAAACCCAAAACAGAGATTCATATTTCAGATCGCGTAAAACATTAATGACTTGATAATGTTGGATGGAGACAAAAGACATCAAGGTACATGAATACAAGAAGAAAAAAATTTAAATAAAATAATTTTATGGCCACGGCATGATAAAGGGATGATTCTGAAGTACAGAAATGGTAGAAACATTTAAACCATTACTTATAATTAATTGAGGAGGTTTTTTTTTTTTACTGTAATCCAGCTCATGGAAATACTTTAGATATGATGCATGGTTCCCTTGTAAATAGGAGATGGAAGCTACGAACTGACCGGATTTCCTATAGCTTCTCCCACTGTGTGAGGTCACACTTTATCCAAAAAAAAAAAAAAATCCTTCTCATTATAGGAAACCAGAAAAAAATAAAAAAAATAAATCACTAATTTTTTCCATTCTAAATACAATGTAGAAATTAACTTTTGGATGATTTTTAAATGTATTTCATTCAGTGCACAACGAGTACTTTTTCTTTTAAGATAAAAATGGTTAGCTAGCAAACAATAGATTTGGAACAGTTATTGTCAAAGCAGACACATAAATCTAGGGATGCACCGAAATATTCGGGCGAAAATGGGCCTATACCATTTTAGGCCAAAAACGGGTCAAATCTGCTGAAAATAGGGCAGAGTGACTTGTCATTGGAAGGGGGCCCGGCGCCTTTCCCTGTGTGCCGCCAGATGCGAGGCACCTCCCATCTTCCCGGGGAGAGAGCCAGTGCAGTCTGCAGATCCGCCAGGTGTGAGCTGCAGACTGTGCTGTATCTCGTGATCTGTGGCCAATCCAATTTTTTTGATATCGCGAGATACAGCAAAGTCTGCAGCTCACACTCAGCGGAGCTGCAGACTGGAGAGACAGACCACCGGATCACCAAGTTGCCAGGACACTAGACCACCAAAAAAAAAAGGGTATTTCTAACACCCTCACTCACTGCCACCAGTCACTCCCTCCCTCAGTCATTGTCACCAGTTACTCTGTCATCCAGTCAACCCTCAGGTCACCACCTTCCTCCCTGTGTAAACAGTCACCCACTACTCCCTCTGCCACCCCTCACTCTGCCACCAGTCACTCCCTCTCTCCCACGCTCTGCACAAATCATTTTGGGAATCCTTTTCGGTTTCGGCCAAGGGCATCCTGTATCCTGTATAGTTTTGGCCCAGAAATTTCATTTTGGTGCATCCCTACATGAATCTATTAAAAAAAATAAAAAAATTTAAAAATTCTTGGTCTAAGGGAGAGATCAAAGTATGATCTGAAAAGTCATGCAAGAGACTAAAATAGTCTTGATCGCCATGAAAGGTACTACAAAATGTCTTTTAATAGGTTGCATTGAACCAAATTCAGATAAAGCTTTAAGGCCAGCTCTTTGCTGGTTGTAGGTCATTAGTATAAAGTTTGATTCATTTAGGGGAGGATTTTATTTTAGAATAAATCTTTTCTCCAGTATATATGGTCATTGGCTGCAAAACTGCCTAAAAAAGTGCACTTTGATATCCAACCGGTGTAAGTGCTGAGAGATACTGTGTTTAAAGGTTAAAGTGCGGAGTCCAGTGGGATGTGGGGGCAGAGACCCCCCGTGACAGTTGCTAGGTCTGCAGTATTCAGTAACAGCCTAGACACAGACACGCAGCATTGTAAAAAAAAAAATATATATATATATAAAAAATAATTTTTTACAAAAAATGCATATAGGTTGCGTACATCGCTCTCTATCTGTATTAAATAAATCAATTCAAACTAAGTTTCTACCTATTCTTTGATATTTCATAGTATCACTTCCGGTTTTCTTTAAAGTGAAGCTACTTCACAGGCTCTAACTGGCTGCTGATATCAGATCTTCACACTTTTCATCCTTAACTGTCACCGTTTAAAATTTGTAAGATGGCCGCTTCACACGAATGACATAAATAAATAAAACCGGTCCTCCAGTGATAATGAATCTGTGCAAGGCGGCTGTAGCGCAGTGCTAGGACAGACTCCGCTTGGCAGCTGCTGAGCCTCCGATGATGTCATCAGTTATGACTGCTTTTGTCCAATCAAATGCTACTCATGCAGAAGCATTGGGCACATTGTGAGAATGTGGAGCAAACGCCATGCTCTGCCAATCAAATGATTCTCAAGTATTAAATCCAATGCTTCGCTATAAGAAGCATTTAAACAGATTTGGCATTATCATGCTGTGCATGTTGAAGCAAATGTGAAGATTTGCTTTTCGAAGGTATTTTACTAGGAATCGCCAGTTCAACAACCTCTAGAGCCGTGATCTCTGACAAATGTAAGCACTGCCATTTTGTCAGAAATAAAGGTTTTACATTGTCAGATTAAATAGGCAGCATCTGGTTACCAAAACCACTTCATTTAGATTAAGTGGTTTTGGTGCTTAGTTTGTCCCATAACTTTGCTCCTACTTACAAGTTTGTCATGACTCATAATGCAAATCTTAAAAAAAAACTTAAAATAGTTTCTCTAATGGTTACAGAGACAGACACCTTTAATGAATTAATTAAGCAATTACTTCTAAATAGATGTACAAAACAGGTGCAACTAAAATATTTGGGAACATCACAGCTTTAAAAAGTTATCACAGAACATCACAGCTTTAAAAAGAGTGCAGAAGAAGCAGTAAATAATGAGTATATTGAAAGGGCAAAAAAAATTAATAAATAAATCTTGCTGATCCTCCAAAGGAGGATATATGCACAAAGTCAAAACAAAACAAGCGTGCAACTCTGTTTTTTCCTGAATGTTTAGTAGTACTCATGCAAGGCATTAATCACTTATTTTGTCCAAAAACATAAGCAGACATGGCCAGTGGCAGGATAAAGAACTAGAATAAAACAGTTGCAGGCCTATGCCATAGCATTTTATTGGAAGTTTAATTCTTCTTTATTTGCCTGTGCACTTGGAATTTCTTTCAAGTTCTCTTTCAATGTATAATGGCTCTTATGGCAAAGCAGGGCCCACTCTATCACACCCACCACAGTTCACTTGGTGATGGGTACACTAAATTACATTTTATTAGAGGAGGCCAGCTGTCCTAGATGCGATAGAACAATCATTGGATTGACTCCCAGTTCCCCAGTTCATACCTCCCTAAACCTGCCCCTATTGCTTCACCAGTGACAGAAACCGCCTGTTTTAATTAAAAAAAAATGTTTTTTCATTTAAAAATTATACTTAGAACAAAGTAGGGCCACATCTACAGACTAGTCCTATCAGCTATTGACTGCTCACTCTATAAACATGGCTATTCTATGTACATGTGTTGGATTTTCCTAGATCATATTGGAGGTTTCACACAATATACCTATGACATGGACAGTGATAACTCCTAGTGAGTCAATACAACTTTACTTTTGAAAAGTACTGAGGAAGGTGTCCATTGGTATAGGAAGATCAATCACCCCAGCTGATCAAGCAGGGGAGTTGAAAGGGATAGAACAACCCATAGCCATGATT